AGTACAGCCACGCAAATGGTCTCATTGTGTTCAGCTCGTCAAGGCGCATCGAATGATATACATGATGACCTTGAACTCACGTAACCTTGAGGTCAAGCGACCTGAGGTAACGTGACCTGAAGCCAACCTTTGACCTTGACCTCTCGAGGTCAACACATACATGTTTCGATGCGGAATGACGAGATAATTATGATGGTACTTTTAGTTTTGGCCTAGCTTGATTACTTCAAAAGCTATTCGTAAAAAAACTGTCATCGCATCTAGAGCCGCTATTTTGACTATTTTTTACCCCTGTGACGGCTGAGTCAACCTCCAAAATGCTTCAAATACGTCGTAGGACACGCGTCATTGCTGAATGTGAAGCTGACTCGCCTATAACAAAAATCATGGCCTCAAACTAACACCGGCCTAATTGCCCCACACCCCGGCCAAATAACCCTGCTAGTGGGGCAATTTGGCCGCTTTGTAGACCTTTGAAATCCGTCACAATTTCAATATAAGTAGTTACTCTATCATTTCAAGTTTACTGTCCAAGGAAGTAAAATGCATGCCACACCTGTCAGCGTTGAGAAAATACAGAAATGTGTTGTCGATTTTTAGTTACATCATTTTCTAAAAAAAGCGGCCAAATTACCCCACTCTCCCCTACGCGCCGGCCGAGGGGGGGGGGGGCGGGTACGACCCCCTCTCGCCGTTTCGCCCCTGGTGGAGCTAGCGCGTCGGGGATAAAACGAGCGTGTGCGCCGTTACGAGACGCAGAGATTGGTACCCGATTTTAAGGTCCTAGATCAACCGGTGACCTCTGAGGTCAGGTCAAGTGCCCCAAGGTACGGTTCAGTTTTTGTTGAATAACTTCGCAAAAAACGGCCGCAGAGCCGCGATTTTGGCAGCATCGTGTTCGCCTTGCTCAGGCGCGTTGAATGATATACTTTTTGTTCGGGTCAGGTCAACTTGGGGTGTTGACCTCAGGTCAAGGTCAGGTCAGCACCCTAAGGTCACGAAGTTGGTCGAAAGGGGTCATGTCGCATATTATTCGATTCGGCAGGTCTTCCTGAGTCCATTGGTGGCTTTCCCGACTCGCTAGCTCAATTTAATCAAGAGTTATTGACGAAAAACTAATATGACCTTGATGACGTCATAAATGACGTCACGCAAGGTCAACATTGCAAAAGTGACGCATCTTACCTTGCAAGGAGTGCATCAAATCACGAATCTGTGTGCTTGAGATAGTTGGAGATCGTTCCCAGCGCCAGAATAGCAGTTTGAATTTTTCCCCATTGACTTATAATGGTGAGGTCACGAAAATGACTTGACCTCATATGACCTTTAGGAAAAATCCGAGATATACAAGTTGAGAGACTCATAATGGATACTACCTGCAAGTTTCATTTCCCTGTGACATCTCCTCTGGCAGTGAGGGCGTTGCGAAGTTGCGACATCTGAAGACCGTGCAGAGGTTCACTTATGACGTCATAGGTCAGTGACCTGACCTGACCCAAAAATGCGGTTGGTGTCAAAAGATCCGGCTTGAATCAAAGGTCAGGTATGCCAAGTTTCAGCTCTCTATCGCCAGCGTGTTGGGAGCTATCGCGAAAAAAAACCCTATGGGGGGGCGGCACCCCCCCTCGGCCGGCGAGGGTTAAATGCGCTTATAGCTTTGCCCTGTGGGTGCGTCGTACATGCCCCTTTTAAATATAGCATAATGTTCTAGTTAGATTTACACTGAACCCGTACATATCCTAGCTATAATCTTACCATGCTCCCGCTTTTAAGTGCATTGTTTGTATTAAACACGATCGAATTCATAACACCCACCATGTGGAATAATGCCTTTAATTGACAATGGCAATGCCATGTCAATTATTGACTTTATTTTGGTAATGTCGAGTGCCCAACGAGAATGAAAAACTGAGCATAAACTTCTCTTCTTCGTCACAAAATATCTAGGACATTCCAAGTGAAAATAAAAAAATGATTCATCTGATCTTTTCCAAGAAAGCATTCAGGTCAGATTGCCTGTAACTAGCGAAACCTCTTCAACCCAGTATCCCTGACTATATATTCAATATAAAAACATCATCCAAGTCAATATGTCTAGTTTGGTCCCGGCACGTCACTTTGCGGCTACATCGGTCGTTCAGTATGACCGATGCATCACACAGTTTCGACAGCAGTGCCACCCCTAGGGAGGGGGCCGACGGTGGGGAGGGGTCGGGGGCACTGCCAGGGGAGGGGGAGGCAGGGAGGAGAACAACACGGGGAGGGCCGGGGAGGGACGGGGAGAGGGCGGGGAGGCGTCGCGGCGCAGAGTCAGGGTCGATGGCGTCGCTCCTGTTGCTCTGCAGTCGCTGCCGTCGCGCCGAGACGTGACCGACGGAGCGGCAGGCGACGGAGAGAGGGAGAGAGGAGGGAGGGAGAGGGAGCGGCGGAGGTCGGGTGGCTGCGCGGTCGGCGGCTGTCGGCGGCGGCGGCTGCCCTATTGATTGCCGGTACGTTGCGTGCGCAGCCGACGGTCGGTTAGCCCCGGAGAGGCGGCCAGGGATACCGGGCGAGCGCGCACTCGACGCGGAGCGCCGCGCCGGCCCGCGCCGGGGTTCGCCGCTGCCGCGCCAGTGTTCGTCGCTGCTGCGCCGGAGCTGCCGGGGCCCACTGGAGTCCTACCGGGGCTCTGTCTAGTCCCAAAACATAGTGATTTATCCTGCGCCAACAGAGGACAGAGGACAGAGGTCTGCGCACCAATTCTGAAGGTGAGCCAAATGTAGAATATAAGTTATTTTGCATTCCGATTTGTGTTTATGGCAATTGCATGTCACCTCACATTGCAGCTAAATACAGTTAAGATTCATAGTGCACAACATTCACGGAGCATATTCCCTAAAATCACATTTGCTGGGAATTTATTTAGATAGGTACATCACATCATTCCCATTTCCCTTGCGCGAATGGTTCTCATTTATCGATTTTTTTTTTTTTGATACATGATCAACATGCCAGTTTTGAACAAATATTTCCTTGAACGTTTCACCACACGGATAAAATAAAACGAGATGAAGGTAAAATGCAGAAAGCATCGTATTAAATGAATCGGGATCTCCAACTCTTCTACCACAGCCGCGTCACTTGGATTACGGAACGTGTGTACGTAGTAAGTTACTTTTTCCGTCCATTTACTGAACATGCGCATCCACGTTTCCCTCCCCACCTTTGACATTGGCATACTGCCCTGTATACTGTAGGGCGTATAATTCGCGCGAATGCCTCCATACACATGCAGAACACTGCTGGCGGCAGAGCCTTTGATGCTCGGCTGTGCGCGGTCGTTAGTGAATGTTTATGGACCATGATCAGTGGCTTCCGACCGGCTATTTCGGCGATGCGTTAGGTCTTTGGCAAGCTTCTTTGAGTAAGATCAAGGTCATACCCATAGCGCTAACAAAAGACGATCTTATTTCCATGAAGAAAGTCCATTCGATTACAACCAATGGCACCAGTCGGAGTAAAGGTAGCCTTAGATCGATTTGGCGTCTTATGACATCTCGTGCAATTTCGATAAGCCCTGCAAAATCATGCAGGGGAAGGGAAGGAGATCAGTTTTTCTCCCCGGTTCCACTGCCAAAGAACCCGAGCCGTTGCGTGTTATTAACAACGGATCAAATGAGAAGACATATTTCAGGTTATAATTTTTCAAATGCTGATATTGTGCAATTACGATATCTGTACACAACGCGTACATGCAACGTCAGTCAGCTCAATATGGAATCCCGACAGGTGAAAGATATGATGTATATCAGGTTCGTTGTTATTGGCTTCCTCAGGGTTACACGTGCTTCTTGTTGTTCCGGCATACATTTAGAAATGGTATAGGTAGCTGTTTTATTTGGTAATCTCTTATTTTATTTTCATAAACCAATAAGCCGTAGTTGAATTCCCGAGCCAAACAACACTTCTATTTTTGTCAAATAAGATTGTTATGAAAACATCAGCTTTGACAGCCACAGAAGGAAACGGAGGCATTAATTACTCGAATTGGCCTCCCGCGTCCAAAGCCAACAGACGAATCCAGATTGCCCGCGCGCCGCTGATACCATTGTCCATGACAACGCTCCCTGAAGCGCAGCTACCGTAGCTCGGACCGCCGCTATTGGTGCCCAAAGCACCACTATTCGTATCAGAGGCGCCAATACTCGTCCCTCGAGCGCCACTCATCGTGTCCGAGGCGCCATTGCTCGTGCCCGACGCGGCGTGTTTGTGTCCGCAGAACAGCGCAAACAAATCTCAGCTGTGATGGCGCTGGCCGGGAGCCAGCCGCCCGCCCTGCGCCAGTTCTGCCTAAATGCCGGCGGACCCGCCCACCTGGTCTCCGGGTTCGCGGCGTGCAGAGCATGACCTGACCTTTGACCTCAGTCCCACCGCGGTCATCGATACAAACCCCGGGTCGGCCGATCGGGAGGCGTGCCAGGTTCTCCTGAAATCTTTCATCAGCCTACGCTCAGAGTGTATAGGGGAAGGCCGAGAGTCTGGCTGTCCTGCCAACGAGTCTTTATCAAGTGATCAAGTGACTAGGTGCAGTGACCTTCTTGTCCTGTCTCGTATCGACTATGCAGTCTTGTCTTGTGCTCGAAAATGTTGGGCATAGAATATTGAATATAGGACTATTAGGAATATCAGCTTCAAAAAATTTACCAAACAAAACCGATGACGACTTTTTAACGGACTGAATCAGTAGTAAGCTACGAATTGTTATCCGACACAATAGCTCCAACCAAATTTGACATGCATGACATCCATTGCCCCAGGGCTCAGGCATTGCCCCCAAAACAAAAAGTGATCAGAAGTCTATGGCTCCGTTCTAGCGGCTACTTCTTCCAAAATTGTCAGTTTAGAGATAAAGCATCGGCCAGGCGAAAACAGGAGAGTAGAAGGCTGAAATATGTCCATGGTAAGTGTTCGCGCGCCGTCAATGAGAAACGTCGTTCACGGGCTCTCAGTCCTCTATATTTTCTCCTCCATTCCTCCTCCTTCTTCCAGCGCTAACGGCCTGAGCCGATACCACAGAGCCTCGTACAACAGGAGCCAGGAGCCAGGAGCCGAGCCGAGCCGTAACTAAAACACGCATACACACAAACAAAACAAGGTAAGTTCCAGACAAATACATCCGTATCATAACATTGTTCAGTCGTATCACGATAATTTCAGAATAATAAGCAAAGCGCTTCACAATAACATCCGACATTTGGTACGATTTAGTGCTTACCGACAAATTGTCACTCTCCGGCGTAACGAACAGTGTTCATGCTTAAATTCATAGCCAAAATTCTTCCTTTTCACTCAAACAACATTTTTGCAAGTCATCAATCACATCTTTCGTCTTTATCTTTCGTAATTATTCAGATTCTAGCCAGACATTGTCAAAATCGAGCCGAAAGAAAGTAAACAAAACAAAACAATCCGGTAACCATAGCAACATAGCGTAGTTACCCTAGGCGGAGGGCACCGCCGCTGAGCGGCGTCGCAACGGCACCGCCGCTGGGGGCCGTGCGGCGCTAACAGTAAGATAAGATAATATAAAAAACGACAATATATTCAAATACACAATTAAAAAACAGAGCTTTCGGTAACAAATACCTTGATCACTGTGTGTATGCTAAAAGTGATCAAGGTATTTGTTACCGAAAGCTCTGTTTTTTAATTGTGTATTTGAATATATTGTCGTTTTATATATATATATATATATATCTGTCATGGATAACACACAAGATAAGATAAGATAACCACAGTTAGGGCGAAATGAAATGAACAAAATATTAAAGATGAAATGTGTTCTAGCCTCTAGGTTTCCTAACACAAATACAGCATTGCATACCTGTAAATAAGCACATTCCGTTATCAAAGCAACAAGGACAGCTGTACACAGACGGCGTTAGCATGCTGACCTTCAGGGTCCGACTCTTTCGGCCACCTGTGAGCATGGTTCGACAAATGTCCAAAGCTGAGTCCCCGCACATACAGGTGTTTCACATCAGATGAATCACATCGGCCTCATCTATATCTGTAGTGCGACCTACAGCTATACCTACACTGACAAGCGATTCGAGTAGTCAAAGTACAATGAATCATGCGTTTCTTATTTACTTTAAAATGTGTCATTGTCTTTAATTTGTCATTTACTTGTTTTGAATGTTTTTTTACGGATACCTTTATATGTGGGCACCTGACGTACCCACGCTTATAATGACTAGGAAGCACAGTGAAATTATTTCAACTGAAAGAAATAAGCATTTTGCCTGTATCGATGCCTATATCTTGCCGGATATAACGACTTTTGTTGCCTCGTTCATCGCATCACGAAATGGCCATCGAGCGTTAGGCTGACGTAAACATGGCCTCAGTCTATTTTGGAAATAATCAAAGAAAACTCAGCCCTGGACTTGAAGCCAAGCATACTGAGTGCGTGCTAACTTGTTGAGCTCAGAATTGATGAGAACCTGGGGGCACGCTCATTCCGGTTTCAGCCGGATCTTAGTGTATTAACCTGGCCTAGCCCTGGGGGAAGGGGGGGGGGGGGGCACAGCTGGACAAGAGACAGGGACTTTTCGGCTTTCGGTCGGCCGAGCGCAGCTAATCAAGCTCCACTATTTGGGGTTCAGCATGCGTGATAATGTCAAGGCCTAGGGGTCCTGCTTCTTCGTACTGTGTAGTCAATCAAGGCTGTTAAAAAGAAATATTCCACTCACCACACCAATGCAGTAGGAGCATAATTGTACCGCTACATATGACCATGTTCTGAAGAGAGAAAGAAAGAGACAAATAAATGCAGCACTGACTATGAAGCAGTTGCATCCAGGGATGCGGAGTCGGAGTCGGAGTCGGAGTCGGTCGGAGTCGACAGTTGTGACCGGAGTCGGAGTCAGAGTCGGAGTCGATATTGGAAACCCCAGCCGGAGTCGGAGTCGGAGTCACCGAAAATCTGTCGACTCCGCAGCCCTGCCAGGTGTGCGGAGTCGGAGTCGGGAGTTGGAGTCGATCGGAGTCGACATTTCTGCCCGGAGTCGGAGTCGGAGTCGGAGTTGGTTTTTGAAAGCCGGAGTCGGAGTCGGAGTCGGAGTCGCCGTAAATCCATCGACTCCGCAGCCCTGGTTGCATCCATGCAATTAATCAACTAAAACGCGCATGTGTATCTTGAAACTAGAGAGAATACCGATGAATGTAAAACGCTCCAGCCTCTTCGTATACAGGGTGTTGCAGGTAAATTGGGAATTTTCAGACCTAATTTCAACATGCTATTAATACGGTGAATAAAAACACAAAAAGTTGAAACTTCGCACGTGTATTGTGTCATGTACGCACAGCCTTGACACTCGATGTGACCGCCGTCGGCGTCCCGCACCCCCTCGAGACGGCGCCGGAAAGCGGAGCACGCGCGCCGGGCCTCGTCCTGGTCAATGGTGCTGACTGCCTTCCTGATGGCCTTCTTCAGGTCAGAAGCGTTGGCAGGAGTGGTCGAGTTGGACTTTTGTTCTACCACGCCCCACATCCAAAAGTCGCATGGATTCAAGTCAGGCGAGTTGGAGGGCCATATGTCCTTGGGTACATATAGGGGGATCCTCTGGCTCAGGAAATCTTGCACCCTCTGGGAAGCATGTGCTGGGGCGGAGTCTTGCACCAGCATGACTTTGCTCAGGTCATAGTATTTCATCATCCAGGGGATGAGAGACTCCTTCAGGATGGTCAAATACGCGTCAGTGTCGATCATCACACCAGCAGGTATGAAATGGGGCGGCATTATGCGGCCATCACTTGCGACGGCCCCGAACACCATTACTGATGCCGGATTTTTGCCTTTATCACGGGGGCCACTTCATCAGGGCTGTAGGCGATAGCCCGCGAGTTCCTGCGGTTGGCGACCTCTTCTACGATGAACTTTTTCTCATCGACAAATACTCTGACGTCACTCCCGAGGTGCTTGAGGAGATTGAGGACCTTCGGTGCCCTCTCCCTTCGTATCGCTCTTGCTGGTTCGGTCAGGAGGCTTCGTCGTTTTCTGGTAAACGACTTCATCCCGAGGTCCTCTCTCACGGCTCTGCTGATGGTGCTCTTGCTCACGTGACGGGCACGCGCAAGCTTGTTCATCGAGGTCCTCGGTTTGGCCTGTATCGAGCGTTTCAAGCCGCTCAGGAATGTTGGTGTCCGTTTTCGGTCACTGCGAGGTGTGTGAGAACGTCGAGCGACATCCCCTCCAGCTCCTACAGTCGCGATAGTTCGGTACACGGTAGACTTTGGGTACCCAGTTAAACTTATTATGTCCTTCGCGCTCTGTCCGGCGCGAACTAACTCACCAATCGTTTCCCTCCGACGCTGCTCCATGACTGCGCGATATGTTAGGATTAAAATTTCAATATCAAATGAAAAACAATTGTTGAAATTATATTGTGTCAAATTTCCATGATGTTCCTCCGCATAACAAATTTTTTGTAAGGTCATGAACATAGTCCCAATTTATCTGCAACACCCTGTATGTTTAGGTAGCCAGCACCTACTGTTGGACTGATACGCCTCTGTACACTCGTGTGCACTTTCAGAGGGAGTTTGAAGATGAGACAATCTCAAGCTTGGTTGAATTGAGGTCGTAATGGGACTGCTTTGACAGATGAATTCCAAGTTTCTGTGCCTTTCATCTAATTCTTAATTTTCAAAATTGGCACACACGTTGTATGTGCCGGAACCCCAGTTGCATGCTAATGCAACAGCTTTGGACTTTTTTTTGGCGTAGGTAGAACGTTACCTTAGTTGTGCCATGAATGACAAAGAGTTGTGCTGGCCCCGAAGTGTCAAGTGGTACCGCCGAAGCTGCATCTCACACACAAAATGCGCAAAAAAAAACACACACACACACAAACGCATTATTCTTGGCAAAGAACGCTTTGCGTCGTCCAAAGGAAGATCAAGGGGCACATTTAGCGGTTATATCGCATTTTCTATCCTGTCATAACTAATCTTCCGTTAAATACCGGGTGGCCCAGAAAAAACGTTCCGAACTTTGGAGGCCTATATATCAAATTCGAGTACAAATAACGAGCCAAAATTTTCATCAAGTTTGCGTCATTTCTTTGCGCATTGGTATGCCAAATTATAACACTATAGGGGAAGTTGGGGGAACGCCGAAGACTTTTTTTCTGACGACCGTAGCACGCAAGGTAGACAACATAAGCTATTCTTGTTGGCGTCATTCGAGAGGCCAGTCTTTTGCCTTTCAAACATACCAGGCGCATTTGATGAATTCGCATACCGTTAAGCGCACAAACTAAAAATATCAAAGAAGTGACTTTTTCGGCGTTGCCCCGGACTGCGGGGAAAGCCGAAAATGGGAGAAATGATCTACGGGGAATGCCGACATTGATGTTTTGCCATTTTATCTCAAACTTTATCCAGAATTGATCAAAGCTGACACGCGTTTTAAGAGCTTGAGGACGCGGTGCACACTGGAAGTTATAATTGTGTGATATAATAAGAACATGCCAGGTAAATCATTCCTTATAGGTAACAGGCCGTTGTGTCGGTTGAAAGTGTAATTCGTGTGACTAAAAATACGCGTTGCTATTCTACAGCAGTAAAGTCCACGTAGCGTGCTTTTAACACGTGCGTAATCGCACGTTCGTTTTCGGCATTACCCCAGCCTGCCATACTTTCATTTGCAGGCCCATAACTTTTCAACGTGCTGTATAAATTTCAAATAGGCAGCACACTTATGCAAAGACATGCTAAAGATTACTTGACCGAATTGGCCAGACAAACGGTAGCATAATGAGTAAGAAATGCAGCTTCAAAGGCGCATGTAGTACAAGGGAAACGTACCTTGAAAACGCTCTTGGCGCCCTCACAGTCGAAGTATTCCGAATGACGACTCGTAACAAACATGCGATGATTGTAGTCACTTAAGCTTCAGAGCATCACTGACAGGTGGCATCCATGTCTTACGGTTTTCGAAATATCTCGAATTTCGGCTTTGCCCCAACTCCGGCATTGCCCCAACTTCCCCTACCATCATTTTCAAGCTGGCAATCTTGAGTTGAATTAAGCAAGACGTTTTTGCTTTTTTTGCCGATGTCAAACGATAGTGATGATTGGGTTAGACGTCCCATGTTATAAAAAAAAGAATAAAAAATAGAGCACGTGAATGAAACCAACACGTATGTTCTTATTTTAAATATTTTTGTCTCACTTATGTGCCAAATATTCAAATACTGAGCCAAAATGGTGCTCATGGATGCCATTCGTTTCAACACCAAATCATGTTTCGAGCAGGAGTGGCACGGTGCATGGATTACTACTGATTACCCTCCTTTCAGTAGATCAAACAGTAAATCGACCGGATAAGGAAAACAAACTAAAGCAGACTGGTTCCTGTGCCAGAAGACCACAGAAAAGCTTATGAAAAAACAACATTACCAGCAGATGACAAAAAAAACTGGTTGAAAAGCTACCTTTTCCCAGGAATGTCAGCCAGGAAAGCATTTGAGCAACAAGATGGTTAGAAAACTGGAAACTTCTTCCGATGCCGCTGGCACAGAGCCATCGTGGTTGCCTGAGGGAATGTGTCATCCTGAGACCCGAACCATCAATGAGACGAGCTGCCAGTAGAAGTCATGGCTCTATGCCGCGGTGCAGCGGGGTGAAAGTGACCCGTTCACTCACATTTTTTAGTAAACATCGGAGCAAAAAAGTAATCTTTACATGGCATGCTTGAAACACGAACCGTTTAAGAAGTAATTTATCGAACACCATGAAAATCACACCATTTACTGAAAATGTGTGCCGCATTGACTATTCGAAATTTCAATGTTTATCTTTATCACTTTCTGAGAAATATTGATTTAAAGTTGGGAACGTTTTTTCTGGGCCACCCGGTATACGAAGCGCAGAATGCATGCAGAAAGGATTACGGCTATGTAAATAGAATAATAATGCCTTTTCCTGTGATATCTTGGAGAATTAGAAAAGTGTCCGGATTTTTTTATCAGATTTTTATCGTGATCCTGTCAATTTTGCATGCCCTCAATTCAGTCACATTGAAACACTCAGCTTGTCAACCGCTGCATCCGCTCCAATCATCGACTGTTGTAGAAAAACGACTGCCTCATGCAATGTTTGCAAAACTGACATAATACTCGAAGGAGTATGGAAACGAAAGCCTCGGCCGAAAGTTGGCGACTCTTCTGATTACGCTGGGGAGAAATAAAGTCGCCGAATCTGAACCAAATCTCGATAGCCCATCGGTAAATGGAACCAGCTGTGTTCTAATTTTAAACAAAAGAGTTGTGCGGTAAAAAGAGACGTTAATAAATGCAAAGGCATAAGAGTAGATAACGAAATTCATGTTAGGTATATATGGCAAAGGCATTCTGAACACAGACAAATGATAATTGCAGTTCAAGGAACCCTCCTTTTCATCTATGGCTCAAAAACATACAAGGTAGTCAGTGAACTCAGAAAAAGCCTCGGACCACACTGCATAACAAGGGCCGGGTTCGTAGAGCCTTACACGTTAGATGACGTCCGAGTGGGGTTACATTAACGGCAAATGGCGATTTTGACGTGGACGAGATCAGTTGAAGGACTAACGACAGACGGTCAGACCCAACGGCCATAGACGCCAATGGGCAATCGCAACGGATGGGTCGTTAAATGGCCGCAGAACAGCCCAAACCGTCAATAGCCAACTGATCCGGGCTTCCAAAACGGGCTAACACTGAGTGTTGGCCTGGTATAGGAATAGCTGGGGACGAGAAAGCATTTTATGGCAGATGGCAAAGAATAGTGGCGTATGAGGGAGATCTGGTGGCAATCGAAACCTGGAATAGCCATAGCGAGGGAAACTGAACCACAGTAGATGAATATCACGGATTTGCGGTCGCTAGGGTTTACGGAATACAATCCTGTAACGCCCTAACTGCAACACTACGATGCAACACCACGGCATTGTCAATGTTCCCCGAGTTTCGTGCCACAAGACTGCCTGCGCCAGACTTCCGCTCCACCCGCCTCGACCCACGCTAACCAAAAAAAATAAAAAAAAAAAATAAAAAAAAAAATAAAATAAAAATAAAATACATGTAAATGCGTCTTCCTACATCACAAATCAAAGGCCTTATTCTGGATTGCAAACACCCATTCTCATGGGCAGAAGACTCATTTTCATGTGTTCCTATGACCTTTATGACCTATCACCAATAGATGAGACAGTTCATGGAATTTGGGCCTGAGTTATTTAGTTAATGACAGTATCAGGCCAATGCGTGACCAGCATAGCTAATCAGCGGCCAATTGGTGCACTTGTTGGAAGCTCTAGAGCGTGATATCCTGCTTCGGCTAGATCCGGCAGTGTGGTGCACTTTGCGACGGCGCCATATTACCGCCTCGCTGTGACAATCCGCCCAAATCCAAATGTGGCAATTCAGCTTTGGTCCGCTGAAAATGGCGGCACTTTTCCGCAACTCAGTTACTGAAGTGCTGACAACACGCCAGAGTCCCAACAAAAACGCAATTTCCTCTGACTAAGGTCAAGTGGTCACAGTTCTTGGAACGGTCGCGGCAGTCGAGAGGTTAATGGTCTGCAGTCTGTACCGGTCTTGTCTGGTTCGGTCTGATGACGAATGGTCTTTGCGCGCATCAAGGGTCGGAGTTATTGGGTTCATATTGGTCATGGGCGGAGTGACATGTGAGTGAAGTGGTCCATTTTTACAATAACTGGGCTTTACTGAAGAAGATTATTTGTTAAATGTTGCCTAAAAAACTTGTTTGTAGAAAGGTATTATAGCGAACATTAATGCTGATTGTTCCTCACAACTGTCTACCTTTACAGGGCACCCAACGGTATTCAACATAACACTCCACAATGACGAAGAAATTCGACTTCAACTGGCGGATACCTGTACCGGACGCCCTGACCCAGGGCTGTGTGCTCGACAGATGGACAGAGGTAGGTTACAGGAGGACAGAGTAGATGGTAGTTAAGTACATACCTGTAACCTGTACCGGATGCCCTGACCTGACGCAGGGCTGTGCGCTAGACAGATGGACAGAAGTAGGTTTGGACAGCAATGGGCAGATACAATAGCGCAGGCAGAGTTGTAGCCTACAGAGGAAAAGAGGTTACCTTCATTTGTGCACAATTTCATTCTCATCTACCAGTAAAAAATAAAAATGTATATCTAACTGTGCTTCTCGGTCCTCGTCCGAGTCTTGCTCGTGGCTATTTTTTTTTTTTTTTTACAAGGCTCGGTGTTGTGACTTGTGAGGGCTTATGCATATTCTCTGTAACAGTACTCGTGTCCAGCTAATCATTGCAATTAGCGAAGGTAGAACCATTACTACAAGGCTCGCTTATGCAGACAGGGTACTCACATCGGTTTATTCATTGATAAAATCCAAGACAATGATCGTAATCGCTCTACAAGCGGTGGTGAGCGCCGATCTCAATGAACTATGGAGATGATTACGGAGCGAGCGAAGCGAGCGGAGTCTTACGTAGAATAACGGAAATTTCTGAGTATGAGCGGCCGGCCGGCCGTGGTCACGCTTTTGCGAGGCTTATATCTCAGCAACCACTTGACCGATTTACATGCGGTAATTTTTGTGGGGTAGCTTCATTCCTTCTACCAAGTATTGGACTATTCCCGATGCATGTGGGTGACCCCTTATGCACGTGCCACGTGCAAAACGAAGAGGTGTCAGTTTTGTAATTGTTGCAATATCTCGGTAACTACTTGGCCGATTGCGCTGAAAGTTGGCATGTATGTACGTAGGCACCCACTAGGCACTGCATATCCATGTGCCAGAGTTGGGGTGCTGCTGCACGTGCGCACGTGCAGGGGTCGTTTCCAGATCTCGAGAACGGCTGGACCGATGGCGCTCAAATTTGGTACATGGTTAGGGACCGGTTAGTAGGGTGCCGTGCAAAAGTCAGTTGGGACCCATTTTGCACGTGCGCACGTGCAGGGTGACGCTTCCAGATCTCGAGAACGGCTGGGCCGATTGTGCTCAAATTTGGCACATCGCTAGAGACCGGTTAGTAGGGTGCCGTGCACAAGTCAGCTGGAGGTACCCCCTCGAAATTTCGCACGTGCAAGGCTCACCCTCTCGCTCGCTCCGTTAGTCGCCCCAAAAGGCGCTATACTGGTTACGGAGCGAGCGAAGCGAGCGGAGTCTTACGTATAATAACGGAAATTTCTGAGTATGAGCGGCCGGCCGGCCGGCCGGCCGGACGTGGTCACGCTTTTGCGAGGCTTATATCTCAGCAACCACTTGACCGATTTACATGCGGTAATTTTTGTGGGGTAGCTTCATTCCTTCTACCAAGTATTGGACTATTCCCGATGCATGAGGGTGACCCCTTATGCACGTGCCACGTGCAAAACGAAGAGGTGTCACTTTTGTAATTGTTGCAATATCTCGGTAACTACTTGGCCGATTGCGCTGAAAGTTGGCATGTAGGTAGGCACCCACTAGGCACTGCATATCCATGTGCCAGAGTTGGGGTGCTGCTGCACGTGCGCACGTGCAGGGGTCGTTTCCAGATCTCGAGAACGGCTGGACCGATGGCGCTCAAATTTGGTACATGGTTAGGGATCGGTTAGTAGGGTGCCGTGCAAAAGTCAGTTGGGACCCATTTTGCACGTGCGCACGTGCAGGGTGCCGCTTCCAGATCTCGAGAACGGCTGGGCCGATTGTGCTCAAATTTGGCAGATCGCTAGAGACCGGTTAGTAGGGTGCCGTGCACAAGTCAGCTGGAGGTACCCCCTCGAAATTTCGCACGTGCAAGACTCACCCTCTCGCTCGCTCCGTTAGTCGCCCCAAAAGGCGCTATACTGGTTATTGCTCAAACGAGTGCTCTATGTGCTGTAATGGGGCAGATCTTGCCAGATACCTACATTCATATCGTTACGGAGAACTCGTACATGATGCTTTCATTTCCGATCGAGTGACTTTTGAACACATATTTAGACGTGCAACACCCAAGTGTAATTATGTCGTGTCTTTTCAGTTTAGGTGATGGTGAAAAAGATAAGGACTCACAAGTCAAAGCGATGGCATGGAGCATATCGTCTTGCATGCTTACACTGTACTTTGTCACATTTTCAGGAAAAAGACAACGTCGACTTCGAGCCACAATGCCTGTTTCGGGTGGATGAATACGGATTCTTCATGTACTGGAAGAGCGAGGGCAATGTGAGTTCATAGTCTGATGACACACGGATACTATTTTCAGACATATTGGCATTCCGCTCGGGCGCTCAATCTTTTGCCATGGATCCCCATCTGATTGGTATTGAGTTCTGTCTCCGGTAGTCCATATACCCAGAGGTAAAAAATATCTCGATATTGTAGCATCTCTTCAGCTATGACCATCGGATAACATTTCTTACAATTATTTGTGTCTAGGTATCCTAGTTGCTACTGTGCTTGTGCCTTTGAAGTGCGGAGACTGACCGGTGGTGCCGACTATGACCGGTCATTAGCGTCGAGTTTGAGGGTCTGACTGTGCTTGTGCCTTTCTGGTGCCGGGACTGACCGGTCAGTGGTGCCGAGTGTGAGAGTCTGACTCTGTTTGTGGTGCCGAGACTGACCGGGCCTGTTCTGGTGCCTTTATGTTGCCTAGACTGACCGGGCGGTGCAGAGTCTGACTGTGTTTGTGGTGCCGAGACTGACCGGGCGGGTGGTGCCGGGACTGACCGGTCGCTCCCCCGCCGTCACCAGGAGGCCGACCTGCTGGAGCTCTGCCAAGTGAACGACATTCGAGCTGGCGGCCTCCCGCGGGTGAGTGGGGCAACGGCCACCAGCGGTCGACAGCAAACAAAAGCCGGGGGCGGCAAACACAAACCGGGACACAAAGTGGCAGCGGCCACCACAGGTCGAGGCAAACACGAACCGGGGAAAACACAACCTAAACACAATCTGGCAGCGGTCACCATCGGCTGGGGCAAACTCAAACCGGGGAAACACAAACCGGGGGAGAAAATGTACTGGTGGCAAACAAAAACCGGTTCACAGGGTGGCAGCAGCGATTATCAGCCGGGGGAAAACACAAACTGACGGCGAACACAAATCGGGGACCAGCACAAACGGGGGGCAAACACAAACTGGGGGAGGGGGCGAACACAAACCGGAAAAAACACAAACTGGAGAAAACGAAATGGGGGCAACGAACTGGGGCACTGGATGGCGGCGGGAAGGCTTCGAGTAGGATGATGGGATGGGTCATATTGGCGTGACCCTTACCTAGCGAACATATTCGCCTCGCACAGTTAGAGTAGGTTAGGTAACAAAGTTACTGCGCCTTCTAAGGATCGCTTAGGTATACGTTTTTGTCCTCCCCTTCCTGCCATTATTCTACGCACTCTACCAGCTCGCCGTACCCCCTTCCCATACCCATCTATCGCTCCCACTCCTGAGACTACCCGTCATCCCAGCTCTCTTCCCCCTCGCCGGTGGTTTGGCATCTCAGCTGGGCGGTCACACGTGGCTGATGACCTGTCACATCTGACACGCTAGATGACATCATGCGTCATCCGTCGACGGGCCGTGACAGGCGCGGGATAGCGGTCTCGGCATGTGGCGAGATTGATGTTGTTTATTGGCAGTGTGGACTTGACGCGCTGTAGATGAAAGAGAAACTCACTAGCTGATGAAACACGACATATTTCGGAAGCAGCAGTAAATCCGTGATGGATTTAGTTTGGGCGGATTAAGCATCACATGCATCGGAAGGCAGGCTAGATGGACGACTTTCATGAATAATGGAACAGGATTATGATCTCAGTATATCTGGGAAGCACTATTTCATGTTCCGCTATGCGGTCTACCGGGCGAGTCATTGGAGACATGGTGTCAATGTCTTGGAATCGATGCTCAGATTTCCGCATTACGCTGAATCGTGCATGGTTATGTGTTGAATCAGCTAATTGGGCGCTCAGCATTCACCGAATTGTAACAGCTTTCACTAAGTCTACTTTAGGCGTTATGCATTCAGATCGCAACAGGAAAAAAAAACAGAAAGGAAAACATTAGGCACATTCGTGTTGGCATGATTGGCATAACCTCTATGACTTCAATGTTAAATGAACAAAAGTCGTACGCTGATCTCAACTATAGTTCACATTTTGTCATACCGACACATGACATTGTGTCAATGCATTGTTAACACCCACTGTACGTTCTCCAGGATCCGAAGTTGCTGAACCAGCTACAGGCACGTCATGGTGCTGACCTGGAGGCCAAGTCGCTCAGCATCTGCAGTGGAACCGACATGGTCAACATCAACCTACAGCACGTCATCCTGCCTGACGTCGAAACCGCCAAGGTATGTGGTCTTGTCGGACGTGCAAAGCCTAATTACGGGATATTTATATTCTGTTCGGGGTTGTAAAAACATCATCAGAGGCAAAGGTATAACGCGTACTTGATGCCTGATGCAAATCGTCAAGGTAAATGATGCTGGTTGATGCAAAACCGCCAAGATGTCGAGGAATTAATAACATCAAAACCGTCAAGGAAGTCAACATTGTTAAAGTTTTAACTAATTTCGTTACACACGGAATGTGAAAAAACAAGGTAATAAAAACTTTGTCATAAAAAACTTTGACCTATGTATGCGCTATGCAACCCCAGTTATTTCCGACAAATATCAATTTATGCTATAAAATAAGCTGCAGATATGTTATTTTCATATTCCCTGACAGGAATTTCAGATCAATTGACCTGATAAATTCATGAATAAATCCAGAAATATTAAGAGAAAATACCCATGCTTCACGCTGTGCCTCCATACGTCAACAAACTGCCGGCTAGACGAAGCCATCAAAGCAGCATCACTATCGACCGTCGTGACTGTTTAGTAGGCCGATAGACATTCTATAGAGATCTTACGTGGTCTTGTGGTCTTTAGATATCATATCTAAATATCAGTTAGTTTCAAATATTATTCTGACTGATTCAGACAGACGCCTAATAGTTATACGTAAGGCGTTTTGTACACATCAGGTCGATTAAATAATGAATAAGTACTCAGCTTTGGCTAAGTCCCGTCATAACATTCTGTCATGACTGCCCACACAGGTGTGGTTGTCGGGCCTTCGAACCATCACACATAACACCAAAGCCAATAATGTGTGCCCCATGACATGTCTCATCAAACAGTAAGTCCCCGACATCAAGTACCGCTCTCTTCTTTACTCGTTTCCTTCGGGTCAGTCTGTCCATTTGCAACGTGCAACTGCATGCGGATGGGTTTCTTGCAATGTGCGCTGGTTTACAGAGATGTTGGTTTTGTTCTTTAACCATAGCTTTACATTGACTTTCTTCTTCGCCCGTCTTCAGGACACTGTCAATGCGGTTTATGCATTACTTTTCTGAGCCTTTTGACGGGATAGTGATCGAGCAGTTTTGACATGCTTGACTTGCTTCGCGAATGCGTTGTTTCTTACATAGCCCGTGCATTTCGGAATTGGGCGTGTGCTACGGGAGTGATTTCTGAACAGATAAAAATGTATATTATGCATGCAATTTGATGCATGAAAAATATTCACACATCATGCTTCTATATGACAATCAGCTTAAAGCTTAGGTTCAGCTCCACAAACCACACATCAAAGTTTTTTAACATAATACCCAAATTAGCCATATATGTAATTAGCTGGACTTTCCCCGCCTCAAGTATGGAAACAAAAACAACGCTCCTTCGAACCTCAACTAAGTATTCTTTGTTCAATACCGAGTTACTTTTAACCAGCTTGCTTAAATTTGCACAACTATAGCATGCACAAAACCAATATATATTGGTTTGGTACTCGTGGATGGAATGGAGCACTTGTGCGTTAATGCACTCGTTTCACTCGTGCATTAACACACTCGTGCTCCAATCCATCCACGTCGTGCGTTAAAACCATTTACACACGGGAAACCATGTGTTAAACTAATTAATACATGCTTAACGGTGCGAATTTGAATTAAAATTAAACTTAGTCCATGACACTAAAAGGGCCTTTTATGGGAATTCTTAGAATAAAGTCAATGACCCTTCCGAAAAACTTCAGTTGAGAAAGTCATCACTGCACGCGCGTGCACCAATTTAAATTGGTGCACGGCTACCTTCGAATTAACGCACGGTTAATCTCCAGTGAACGCACCGTAAAGTATGTATTAATGCAACTTTTTGGTGGACAAGATACTTATTTCTGGCTAGCTCCCTACCCAGCTAACACAGCCACCTCTAATCTTACACAGATTTGGCAACAAGGTCTGCGCACAATTACAAACAATAGTAAAATGAACAACGTCTGCGTGCGAACAGTGCTGGAAAAACAGTGAGTTGGTTGTTGAAAGGGATGGACCGTAATGAGTCTCACGATATCCTTCTGATACGCACAGTAGCTTATGCAGTCAGCACATTTGATCACGGGGAGTGTTTGGCTAATCGTTATCACTTGTGTCAATCTTCCTTGCAGCGCCGAAAATTAGGTAGCAGTCATTTGTTGAAAGATTGCCAATCAATTGGTTCTTTTGTTATTAGCACAGACACCTCCGGTGGTAGGAATTATGGTACTCGGGATTCACCTTGTGCACCGCGCTAACATGTTGGTGGCTTGACTCCTGTCTATTCACTATACACGAGTCAATCCGCAGATAGTGCTCATACCACATTGTCCACCACATACCTGTAGCCAGTAGTTGTGCATGCACTCATTCTTCGTCACTTCATGTCACGTACATCGTGTCCTTGTGCCTATTTGAAAAGTCATCTGTTCTCGTCAATTCTTTTCTTAACCCGCGCCCTGATGGGGGGGGGCCATTTTGGCCCCCCCCTGTGGTTTTTCTTAAATAGCGAGAAAACGGCGGCGCGCAGCGCCGCCAAATTTTGCGTACCTTACCGGACATCAATTTGACACCTTCACACAAAATTTCAAGTCACAGGTCACCTCAGGTCAGGAGTTATTGAGGTCAAACTGAGGTCATGTTCGAGTAAAAATGAGCAAAAAACATGACATCTTGAAACGCTCACCAATTCTACAGTTAACAAGCAATTTTAAAGTTCTTTATGTGGTTGTGTAGAGAAAAGACGGCGCTACAAAACTGCTATCTCGGATTTTCGAAATTTTTGGATTTTGACCCCCAAAAATCAAAAAAATTGATTTTTTTAGAAAAACTCAAAAAAATTCCAAAAATTTTTCGAATTTCGAAAAAACCGGAATATATGTGATAGTCCCTGCGCTCTTCGATATACATACCAAATTTTAGATCGATACCTCTTTTTTTGGCCAAGTTATAGCGAAAAAACTATTAAAAATTGATGACGTCAAATTTTTGAACTCAATGTTTAGCGATTCTAGACCTCGTAGCGCAAAACAGAGACCACCATTGAACTCCCCGTGACGAGCTGCATCGAATCGATACCCATTTTATGCAAAAATATCCATTTTGAAATTTGACCTAATTTGACCTGACCTTGACCTGACCTTGACCTGACCTTGACCAAAACGTGACCTAAGCTGGCCCTAAAGTCTGTCTGACCCACATAATCGCATTTGTCATGTAAAATGGACCATAAAACATGTATCACACGACACTTTCAAATTGTGACCCCCCAGTGACCTGACCTCTGTGACCTGACCTGGTATCAGTGACCTCAAATAGCAAAATATGTGTTTGAAGAACATTTCCCCATCGATGATTTTCAATGAAATGCATTTTACACGATTTTACAACGCATTTCTTGAAATGCCTGTAAACGGTGAAAATTCGACCTTTGACCTGACCTGTGACGTCATCGGTTTGACCGAGGTCAATGAAATTGGGTCACAAGGTAGTTCCCCCGTGGGGCTATCCAACACCGTTTACCGCTTGTCGCTATGTTGCGTGGTTCTCGAGATCTGAGGGGGGGGCCAAAATGGCCCCCCCCCCCCCATCAGACCGCGTTGCTCGGCAGACCCCATCTGGGCGCGGGTTAAGGCTGAAACAGACTCTTTCCGCGTTCAGGAAATCGCATGCGAGAGCCTATTCAAATGCATTATAATTCTTCCCGCATCAATCGCATCCGGGAGGTGCGTGCGATTGATGCGAGCGTGCGTCCATGCATTTGAATAGGCTCTCGCATGCGATTTCCTGACGGCGGAAAGAGTCTGTTTCAGGCATAAGAGAGTATTGGCTTCTGGGCAAGTGTATGTGTAATGCGGTACAGCATGGTCCCAGGCGCACACTAGTAGCGCCATCTATGAGCAGACTCACTAATTCTCTGTCAAACGGCGCTTGGAACAAGTGAAGCAGAAGCCCTTCAGGCGGTCGTCTGCACAGCTGGTCCAAGGCTGGTCCGAAGGGCAGCTGCCAGGGTCTCAGGAGAAGTTGTGGGGCTTGGAAGCCATACGCGGGCCGTCAGACCAGCGCGGGTCACGTTGGCCAAGGGTCACGTGCCGTCGACAGCCCAGTGCTTCTATGAAATAAACCAAGAGTGAATAAAGAGAAGGAAGCTACCGGCTGCCGACGGCATTTATGCAAATTTGGGGCTACATCAGCAATATCCGTTTCGTTGTGTGAAATTGTTATACACTGAAGACGCCATTAGAAGCTCTTTAAAATGCTAACGAAGTGTGGGGGCTAACGAGCCGCATATGAAATGTTTACGCTTTTCATGGATAAGAAGAAATTTCACACAAAGCACACTACCTAGCAAATAAATAAACACAGTTTAAAATTCCGCCACAAATTATGAATCATACGAAATGACAGAAAACAGCCACAGGGAGTGAAACGATCTTCAACGCAAACGGATCTAAGTGTTGACTTTTGGAAGCATGCAATACGAACACTTCCATGTCCCTCTACATGTTGTATTATTGCTGCAATTATTTGGGGAGGGCCAATTACCAAGCCTCTTACATCGCCAATAAAACAAATGCTGGCACTGCTAGAAAAAAATCATTTTTGAATGCAATTATTCATTCCCGCTACGCTCTCACAATGCACGATATGGAAAATCCACGACAGCTATAAGCGCCTTGCACGCAACACTCGCAAGTGAATTATTTGGGCATCGTTATCCCCAAAGCAAAATTCCATTTAGCCATCAGGCTGTGCCCAATCCGACGCGGCACTCTCCGCATATTGAGACAGCCAGGTCGATTCGATTGGTCCAGTATCAACCAGACTTCACTGCCCCAAGGCTATCCTAGCGCTGTGCTTCTGTCGGCCAGACACCATCTATCGACTTCCAACATCCATTACCGTGTAGTTGGATGACGGTGACGCTATTAGCGCGGACCCGGCACACCCCAAGGGTAATCACTCGCGAGCGGATCATGGCGGCTGGCTGCGACCATCCTTCGATGACTCCAGACTTCGGATCAAGGCTCCGCGCCCCGTGCAGCGCCCGATTAGGGAGGCTCCTGTGGGTGTTATTAGATATTTATGACCTGGGGCGCGGAGCGGCTATTCATAAACAAGAGAGTGCTAAATCGTGATGCATCAATTTCCGTTCCGACGCTTGCCTAATGTAGCGCATGTAGCGAAATGATGTAAGTAGATAACTTTAAGCTAATGATAAAGGAAAGCGCAGACCAACACTTCAAAATTTGCTATGGTTGTCAAAGCGGGCGCTATATTAATCTAGGGTGACATAGTTTGGTAGGTATGGTCTCTCTTAAAAGCATCGCGACTCGAAAGCATCGCTATTGCTCCTTGGTTTGAGAGTCCCTGGTTTTTGAGGGTTGGCTGCCTGACCGGCCCGTGAAACCGCGAAAACGCTGGATTCGGGACGGCCAGGCGAGCAGCCCTCACCCTCATGAGGCTTTCAAACCAGGGAGCGATAGCGATACTTTGGAGAAGGTAGCGATAGTTTCAAGAGAGACTATATATGTATATTCACGTAATAGCTATTTTGTTCTTCCGCATTTATCAAGCTGTATTACAGTTTTCTTGAAAACGGAAAGTTCCAAACAAACTCTGTGTATGGTAAGGAAGGAGGAGCATAACACCAATCAAATTCCCTGGCACATTATTGAAACAATTCTGCAGTTCATCACCAGCAAAAACACCGACAACTGCTATATGAAATGTGAATTGTAAATAGGCAATTCTGACTTCTCAGTCATATGCTGCTGGTTGCTCCTTTCATTAACATTCTGCATTTTCTCCTCTGTATCTTCTTAGTGCTGCAATCTGTTCTGATGGCATGCTGTGTCGTAGAATCGCAGACTGCTCGCCTTTCGTCCCTGGATCCCATTCGGCCCTGCCGCGGCACGTGCAGGCAGTTTGCCGCGTTTATTTCGAAGTTGTGTAGCCCGTGCCGACTGTGCCTGCATTTAAATGTCATGTTTTTCGCCGAGTTGTACCGTCTCCCAGGGCCTGTTTTGTTGAGTCTCGCCGTACGCTCGGCTCGTAAGGGTCAAAGTTCCGCTCAGTTAGTGTGCTGAAGCGCCCGTGCAGCCCTGGGCGAGCGTGCCCTGACAGCCATCGACCTTTTCGATCAATGTGTGCACACGGAGGTCAACGACGGCGAAATGTGCCCCCAGGGCAGCACGCTTCCGTCGCTCTAATCGATACTCCGACTGAGCTAGTGTTTGTGTGCAACTGACCAGTCTCAAAGCCCCCCCTCGATTGACGCCCCCCCTCCGTTACCAAGCGCCCCACTAACATCGCCCTCGTGCTGGCAGCTGGATGAGACTCTGTTTCTCAGTGGACCAAGATGGGAAGATCACTGTGAAAAACATTGCGAGGACATTCGCCTCGGGCAAGACTGAGAAGCTCGTCTATCAGTGTCTGGGCGAGCTTGGTCTGCCGTGTGAAAAGGTGACTGTCGCAGACAGCAGTCTGTCTTGTTGGGAAGACTATAGGCTTGCTCTGAGAGCGATGGTGTCAGTTGATGAGAGCGAGCAGCTGTGCCGAACGATATGCAACATCTGGACCTGCTATTTGTGTTGTTAGGGATGCAAATGTCATACCAGAGTATTCCTGCCGAAATATGAAGAACATTCGATTTCTGACGATCGGATCTACTCTGTGCTTATTGTTAATTGAATGATGAGAATTTGACATTGGTTACTGCGATATAGTTAAATAATACTTAATACCTTTTATGATTTCAGAATGATGTCATCGAGCCGGCGGAGTTCACATTCGACAAATTCTACTGTTTATATCACAAAATATGCCCCAGAAATGACATCGAGGAGCTATTTCAGTCAATGTAAGTATGCTCAACAGAGTTACGCATCAACGAACGGAAACTTTACATAGGCGGGATCAAAAAAACTTTTTAAAATCACATTGGGGTTAGTTTGGCGGCCTGAGCTCCCGCACTGCTTCTCTAACTCGTGTGCCGGCTTTCAGAACAGAGGGCAAGGCGGAAACCATCGAACTGGGCCAGTTCATCAACTTTATGAACGACTGTCAGCGAGATCCGCGGCTAAATGAGATCCTGTACCCGCTATACGACGAGAAAAGGTCACTGGAGATCATCTGCACATACGAACAGGATGAGCAGAACCGCAATCAAAGTAAGCAGACGTGACGCAAGAGTCAGAGGTCGCTTATTGTATTCCATACATATCCTTGAGGAATTCCTGCTATTCAGTAGAGAATAATGCACCTCTTTTCTTAGTAGTTGCTCTCGTTGATGCAGTCAGACTTCAGAGTGATTCGGAGTAAATCTGGACTCGCAAATGGATGGGCCTGTAGTCGCTAGACACTGAGCCGCAAGACATCAGTGCCTTGCGGTGCAGCATTACCGCAGGAGCCTTTTTACTTGATGTTCTGAGAGACGGGTCGCTCGGGAAAGGCCAGTCGCGAATATAAAATGCGCTCTTGTGATCCCTAGACATGTTTTTAAACTGTGGAAGTGATCACTGATCGTAGGTATAGTTTTACGCCTAACTTTCTCAATGAGTTTTCTATTCATGGATCAATGCGTTTAAATGTTGGTCTTCTGGAAAACCACTCAAACAATGTTTGCACTAACGCGAGCCTAGATATCCTCATCACTGGGTTTTCGTTACATCTATCAGTCCTATTGTTCTCGAGCAATGGAAAAACAACCCTGCCGTCCATCCGAAGGCTTTATCAGTCAGAGCGGGTTTCCGTCACGGATGATAGTCCCGCATGTCTGGGCAAAGATAAACGACTGAGAGGAAGGAAAAACGATGGAGGAATGGACATCGGACGGCCCGTGCTGATGAGATGAGACACCATGACCACCCAATGGGCCACCGTTAATTGTACACCGATAAAGGTCTGACATGCGCTCTGAAAAAACAGTATTCTATTATCTTTGTATTGATCCAATACCTTTCCACAAGCTCCCGTATTATTATCTTTTCGTGTGTTTACTCGTATTTTGCAATGAAGGCGGCTGTCGATTCTTCGGTAATTATAGCACCGATTCGAATAATTTTCTACGGCTGAGAACGCTGAACACCTCGACCTCCACAGAGCGGTTCTCCAAGGAGGGTTTCACACGGTTCCTGATGTCGGACGACAACGCGCCCGTGTTCCTGGACCGGCTGGACATCTATCAGGACATGGACCAGCCCATGAGTCACTACTACATCAACTCGTCCCACAACACCTACCTGTCGGGCCGACAGTTTGGCGGGAAGAGTTCCGTGGAGATGTACCGACAGGTCCTGCTAGCCGGCTGTAGGTGAGAAAAACAGGACGGCAGGCTGGCACGGAATGAACGGATAAAACCAGTTAGTTTTTACGGAAACGTAGGAAGATGGATTTTCTATAAGAATAAACATTCAGACCGAGAAGGACTCAACTGCAATGCATGCAAGTATGCCATTATCCACTTGTCCATGACAACTAACAGTACCTAAGTGGTTTAAAAAATTCATTTGACTAATTGGCATCGTTGCCATTTCAGACTTGTAAACGACTCAAATTTTTTTGAGTCGATTCTTTGTTTGAGTCTGGAAATTTGAATCGATTCATCAAACGACTCATGATGTTAAATTTAATTGATTCGAATCAACTCATGACTCATCAAGTTCCTCGATAAAATGATTCGAATCAACTCATGACTCGAGCAACTAGCCAACGGAATGATTCGAATCAACTCATGACTCACATTTTGATGAATCGATTCAAATCAACTCATGACTCACACGACCTTTTTATTGAACTTATTTCATTCAACCCATGACTCACTATAGGCATTTGTTGATTATTTGACTCAAAGCTATGACAAAATGAATATGCCGCATACCACAATTGTATTAAGCAGCATAGTAGCCTTGACCAAAGATTCAAGCAGCTACCTAGTAGGACTAGGTAGTAGGTACATAGGTACCTACCTTACACCTACCTATCTTCAACACTCGTCACTCAACAGTCAACAGTGCAATATCAGATAAATTTGTAAGTAACTCTGAGAGACAATTATAATATAAGTGAGGACTAAGGAGTAGCATAGTAACCTATCTCTTATTATTACCTAGAAAGTCTTTTTGAAAATTCAAAAGCACAAGTTCCGAGAGGCATTCATGTTTTTTTTTAATCAAACTTTTTCTACATGATAATGAAACAAATGTTACTACTTCTTACTTATCACATAAAATTATTCAAACAGTACAACCTCAAAAATAGGATTAATCCCACCTGTGACACATTCAGCATCAGCAGGGACTCCATGGGCCACGAGGAGCAAACGAGGAGGCCATGACCTTGCATGGGTGGCTCAGGCCTCAGAATCAGATATGATCTTGAGTTGAGACTCGAAAGTGGCGTCACCGTCGCCTTCCCGCCAAGGTAGGCCATAATGACCAAGGTCACGTATGTCAAACTAGTGGCAGCTTCAGATCGCAGTTACCGTGCGATCGTACTAACTTACTGCAAATTTGTGCTAACCTGCTGCAGTGGAAAACAAGTAAGTATTATGTCCGTGAAGTTAGCGTCAGCAACAACAACGAATACAGCGTCGGATTCAGAATCACTCAAAAAACTCATATTCGGTCAATTGGGGGACGGGGAGCAAGAATATGACCTTTATTTGGCCCTAGCTTTTACCCCTTACCCCTTAATCGGCCCTTAAGGGAAGGGGCGCGTCAAAAGTGCCTCAAGGGTTCGTCTGATCGCCAAAATAAGGGTCGCAATCGATTCCCCGGGTTAATATCTAGCCGCAGCATTGGGTTCCAGATGTGTGCAACTTACCCCTTACCCCTTAATCGGCCCTTAAAGGAAGGGGCGCGTCAAAAGTGCCTCAAGGGTTCGTCTGATCGCCAAAATAAGGGTCGCAATCGATTCTTCGGGTCAATATCTAGCCGCAGCCTTGGGTTCCAGATGTGTGCAACTTACCCCTTACCCCTTAATCGGCCATTAAAGGAAGGGGCGCGTCAAAAGTGCCTCAAGGCCCGGTTCGTCTGATCGCAAAAATAAGGGTCGCAATCGATTCCTCGGGTCAATATCTAGCCGCAGCCTCGGGTTCCAGATGTGTGCAACTTACCCCTTACCCCTTAATCGGCCCTTAAAGGAAGGGGCGCGTCAAAAGGGCCTCAAGGGTTCGTCTGATAGCATAAATAAGGGTCGCAATCGAATCCTCGGGTTAATATCTAGCCGCAGCCTCGGGTTCCAGATGTGAGCAACTTACCCCTTACCCCTTAATGGGCCCTTAAAGGAAGGGGCGCATCAAAAGTGCCTCAAGGGTTCGTCTGATCGCCAAAATATGGGTCGTAATCGATTCTTCGGGTCAATACCTAGCCGCAGCCTCGGGTTCCAGATGTGTGCAACTTACCCCTGACCCCTTAATCGGCCCTTAAAGGAAGGGGCGCGTCAAAAGTGCCTCAAGGGTTCCTCTGATCGCAAAAATAAGGGTCGCAATCGATTCCTCGGGTCAATATCTAGCCGCAGCCACGGGTTCCAGATGTGTGCAACTTACCCCTAACCCCTTGAGGCACTTTTGACGCGCCCCTTCCTTTAAGGGCCGATTAAGGGGTAAGGGGTAAGTTGCACACATCTGGAACCCGAGGCTGCGGCTAGATATTGACCCGAGGAATCGATTGCGACCCTGGATCAGACGAACCCTTGAGGCACTTTTGACGCGCCCCTTCCTTTAAGGGCCGATTAAGGGGTAAGGGGTAAGTTGCACACATCTGGAACCCGAGGCTGCGGCTAGATATTGACCCGAAGAATCGATTGCGACCCTTATTTTGGCGATCAGACGAACCCTTGAGGCACTTTTGACGCGCCCCTTCCTTTAAGGGCCGATTAAGGGGTAAGGGGTAAGTTGCACACATCTGGAACCCAAGGCTGCGGCTAGATATTAACCCGGGGAATCGATTGCGACCCTTATTTTGGCGATCAGACGAACCCTTGAGGCACTTTTGACGCGCCCCTTCCTTTAAGGGCCGATTCAGGGGTAAGGGGTAAAAGCTAGGGCCAAATAAAGGTCATATTCTTGCTCCCCGTCCCCCAATTGACCGAATAAGAGTTTTTTGAGCGATTCTGAATCCGACGCTGTATTCGTTGTTGTTGCTGACGCTAACTTCACGGACATAATACTTACTTGTTTTCCACTGCAGCAGGTTAGCACAAATTTGCAGTAACGTAGAAGAATAACCTTATGCTCACTATCTTTAAACAAACCAAAAAATTAGCCTAAAATCAATGAATATATTTCGGAAACGTTCCTTCTTCAGTTCAAAAAGTACTTTTTGAACTGAAGAAGGAACGTTTCCGAAATATATTCATTGATTTTAGGCTAATTTTTTGGTTTGTTTAAAGATAGTGAGCATAAGGTTATTCTTCTACGATATTCAATAATGCTGCTCATTTTAGTACTTCGCCATCTTATTAAATTTGCAGTAAGTTAGTACGATCGCACGGTAACTGCGATCTGAAGCTGTCACTAGTTTGACATACGTGACCTTGGTCATTACGGCCTACCTTGGCGGGAAGGCGACGGTGACGCAAGCTTTACCGACCTAGGTGAGTTTATTTATATTATAGCATAGCCTATAGGTAGTTTATAGGCTATAGGTAGTTTGGGCGTATTTGACTCTATAGACACCCGGCTAACTCTTATGCTGTTGATTGATTATTGGGACCAAATTGGGACTGGGAGAAGGGGAGGCAGCCGCAGGTGTCAATTCTGACTTCTGACATGTAAAATGTAGGTACCTAGGTAGTGTAGCAGGCACTTGGCTTGGTAAGACTAAGTACCTACCAACTGCCAAATGCTTTTGGCTCATTAGGCGCCTGTGCCTGAGCCTCTGAGGCTCTTGTAAGTCTGAAATATGGAGTTAAGTGATGGCTAAAGCTGAGGGATTGATCTAGCATTGATTATTAGGGTGTTGATGGTGACTTGTAAACGACTCAAATTTTTTTGAGTCGATTCTTTGTTTGAGTCGGAAATTTTGAATCGATTCATCAAATGACTCATGATGCTAAATTTAATCGATTCGAATCAACTCATGACTCATCAAGTTCCTCAATGAAGTGATTCGAATCAACTCACGACTCATCGAAAAACGGTTTGATTCTGAGTCGATTCACGAATCAACTCAGAGTCGTTTACAAGTCTGTGCCATTTCTTGCTGCAAGCGTTACTAAATAATAAATGACGACTGCACGAATATCGTACTCACGGACAGCAGGTCCAGCAGCACTTCACTACACCCGTCCAAATAGTGCAGAATGTTTGCATGTCTGCGCGCAATTTTTCGCCAACCTGACATTGACAGATGGAACGATCTTCGTGCATGTCAGCAGCCACACATACACAAAGGGGAATCGAGTAAACGTCAAATGACCCTTCTAAACAATTGCAGTTCGCGCTAAGGTTGATGGTTTTACGTGTGAGCATTCGCAACACACTCATGTCATGTTTTAATTTCTCGTTTGACAGGTGTGTGGAGCTGGACTGCTGGGATGGAAAAGGAGAAGACGAAGAGCCCATCATCACACACGGAAAGGCCATGTGCACAGACATCCTCTTCAGGGTGAGGGCTAAGGGTTTGCGGGGAAACTCTCGATCGAAGAAGTGTGTTATAGACCAACGGATTATACAGTACATTGTTTTCTCGAAAAGTGCACGAACAATTGCTCCCGTTTTTTTTTTCATGCAGCTAGTGCATGGATAATTCCAGCCATCACAATCCCTAGAGCAGGCGTTGCGTTCCAATTTGAGTTTACTTGAAATGCTCTAATAAGTATCACATCACGCAATAATGACATGAGTTCTAAGATCACGTTCAAAACAAGCGATGACGCTCTCCTCTGTGCCGCGTAATGCTGCGTAATGCGCAATGCCGCGTGCCGCGTAACCCATTGCCCATATGTGCTATAAGGTATAACGAACCACTTGCGTATATGACCACGTTTCCATGGGCATCACTGATCCGGATAAGTAAAAATGGATTAGCTAATCCAGTATAGTTAGACAATATATGAAAATGAAAATAAGGGATTAACCGATTATATAAGCCTAATCCACTTGGAATTATACCATGTAACGAATAGTTCGAGAAATAAAATACGATTTAAATTTGCTGATCCGGATCAGTGATGCCCATGGAAACGGGGTCTATGAATACAGCTCTGATCCTACCGAACTGAGTGAACCTAATTTAGCAGCGTGTTCAATGTCAACGCGCCGCGTGGCTTATTTTAACTTATTCTGTCTGTTTTCAGGACGTTATTTACGCCATCCGAGACTGTGCGTTTGTGACATCCGACTACCCAATCATCCTCTCGTTCGAGAACCACTGCTGCAAAGCCCAGCAGCTCAAGATGGCCAAGTACTGTGACGAGATATTCGGCGACTTACTGCTCAAAGAGCCGCTGCCCGACTGTCCAGTAAGTAAATCGCTGCTACAGGATAAAACGAAAAATCTTAGAAGTGAACAGAGTGCCATTTACTTTTTTGTGATCTACAGCCATAATCATGGATATAATTTTCAGACAGGGATAAGTTTGATGAAGTTTGGACGTGTACGAGATATTGTGTTTTATTTGGTCCGTTGCCCTCTGAACATTGCGATGATGTCAGTATTCGTCAAATTTATAGCGGAAGTAAGTATAGAGTACTGTCGTAAATTTACGAAGGAGTAAGCGATGATATATGTGACGTACCAAACACCAGCGGATCACGATGTCTTATTTATTGCCACAGCCGGCAGCTTTGGCTGTTATAATTGTATCCAATTTCCAAAGGCATTATAGCGTAGATGCGTTCGTAAGTCGTAGCACATATAAATCATAATCACCACAAGCAATAAAATGTAAATCGTGAATTATTATTTCCATGAACTTATCACCACTTGTAGCTGATGCATTATCAATGTGATCATTTCTTGACGCTGACGTTTCTCTTTGTTCCAGCTGGAGCCGGGAGCCCCGTTACCAAGTCCCAACCAGCTGCGGCGCAAAATCCTGATCAAGAACAAACGGCTCAAGCCGGAGGTGGAAAAACAGGAGCTCGAGCTCTACATGAAAGGCCAGCTGACCATCGTCGATGACGTCAAAGAGGATGCGTCCGCAGCGCCGACAGAAACTAAGGTGAGGGAACGGTGGGTCTTAGCGCAGGAGTTGGACAGGTGCACAACTGGAATGTAGTTTGTGTTTCAGTCAGACGTAAATAATCGTGATTCGCTGTCCTTAGATCCTTTTGTGGTAATGACAGGTGTCAGTTTTAACACAAGTCAAGTAAACTTATGCTTATAAACTTATAATTTCATTACAACCTTTGTTTGCAAATCGAAGAAGTTCGACTTTCCAGCAGTCATTGAGGACTACTGAGTGCGAAAAAGTCGTCTTCGATTCGTACTAAAGTCATGATTGCACAGAAACATTCAAATTTTCCGTGTGGCACGCTTTCAAAAGTTCTAAAATCAAATGAAACTTCATGCGAAGTTTACTCGAAACCTATTAATACGAAGACCAATTATTATAAATTATAATACGTTAACATGTCATTTCATTGCCAATCACAGTAGGTACGCATTACACCGATGTACCGATGTTCGCATTACACTTCTCGTAGTAATCTCATTTCATCACATCACGAGCAGCATTGTCTTTATTTAAAGGGACACTCCCAACTTAAAGGAAGACTGCCACCTTCAAAAAGTTTTCTCAGATCGGCCTATGATTTATTCCCTGGACAAAACAAAATTTTAGAATTCACCTGACAAAGTATCATCACGTGAATCGCGAAAAAAAATTGTCGATTATCATACAATTATCAATCGGTTAATGTCTAGCGACAATGTTTACACATCACTAGACTTTAAGGTCATAAGATTATTACATTTTATTTGAAAAAGTAAGGTATTTTATGATTTACTAATATATGATTTCATAAGAAATTGGCCATGTTTAATTTATTTTGCATTTAAGTTCGTAAAACATTTAAAAATCATGGCTCATTTGGAATGGGTCTGGCCCATGTTAAACCCCATTTCCCACACTTTTTGGAAAAAATGAACTACTGAATATATAAGTTTAACTTTTATTTTGACACTCCAAAATTCTTCTCTGATCTCGAAACAATCAAAGTTTTGACATATATTTACCAAAAGATAAGAAAATTCATGTTTCAAAGTTATCGATAAACAGTAGAGATGTCGGTTTTTTTGGACTAAAAAAATGGCATCAAACTGAACTTTGGTCTCCGATTTCTCGCAAACGGGTTCGAATTTCGGAAAACCGACTTCAGTCTGGGACATAGGTGGCTCAGCTCTACTGAAAACCGTTTTGTGGAAAAAAGGTGGCAGTCTACCTTTAACATTAGTTTTGAGTTGAGATAGCCAAATTGGTAGCCATGGCCTGCAAATACCGGTTTGGTCACTCACAACATCGAAAAATGCTTTAATTCGAAGATATGGAATTTCAAACTTGCAGTTTTCGGATTCTAAGGGGCTAATGCATTGGAATGCCCCCTTAGAATTTGTGACGTCAGCGGAGATCTAACGATTTTTAAATCTTAGACTAAAACCATCGTTAACACGTGGTGGTATACGCTGCTTTGCGCGCAACGTCTGCCGCACTTTAAGGCTGCCAAATTATTGCTTCCAAATAAAGTCGCTCGTAACAGGGGAGATCCCAAAAAGTAAACAAAAGTAAAAGCCTAATATCTTGAAAACCAGTGAATATTTTTTCGGTGAAATTTGGTAGATATTCGTTTTCGCTCTTTCTGAACCAAGGGACATCACTTTCATGCCAATTCATTAACTTTTTTGAAGGTGGGAGGGTCCCTTTAACCTCATTCAGTCTAGCAGATCCTAAAACCTCTGTAAAATTTGGAACAGTGCAGCACCAGCACTTTGCTCCCCGTTTCAGGACCGCTCTCTCACGCCTCCCACAGTTCACTGCACCTTCCCACCTGCGCCTGCCCGGTAGTTTACCAGTCCGTGGTCGTTCGGAAGTGGATATAGTGGCCCTGGGCGAGGCTCGTATAACCTCCTATCCGTCTGATCCAGGATGGTACCGCCTGTAGCGAGGTGGACCGCCCCATGACCGCCGAGGAGAAGGCCTTCCTTAGTTACCAGTACACGGGCGCCACGTCTCTAGTGCACCCCTACCTGTCCAACATGGTCAACTACGCGCAGCCCATCAAGTTTATCGGCTTCGACGATGCCAGAGGTAAGGAGGAGTCTGGAGTCGCGAGGGGCTGTGTCGAGGTTTGGTCTCGGGATGCCGTGAATATGTTGTCGCATGCTGGTCGGTTGTAACAAGAAACGGCCATGGTTTACGCCGGCGCTGTCAACTGACCTACCGGGTCAGGCTGATTTGTTATAACGTGCATGCGAACCGAGTGGCATTGTGTGGAATGTGCATCGAAACTTGAGCCTTGAAGTAATCTGGCATCAATATCAATATTGACTTGACAGAATGCAGTCTGTTTGTTGTGATTAAGACGCCAATATTTGGACTTGCCTGTTTTGTGAGTCGTTAATTAACAGCTTGTCTCTTTTTACACAAGCCTCTTTTTGCCTCTTTTTACCGCACGTCTTTTGTCCCGCTTACATGCGCCGAACAAACACTGTTCCTGTCAGCCCCGTTGACGTTGCTCGTTTCTGCTTGCTTGTGCCCCTCGCACGAGTGTGTACGTGCCGAGCCCGAGTGTTGTTCTATGGCTGTTTGCACGCACCGTGGCATGCGCAGGAGCCGACGGAGGGCGGCGCTGCTGACCCAGCGGCGGCGGCTGACCCGGCGGCAGCAGCAGCGGCCCACACCGGATCCACGGCCTGCGTACACCCGCTGCTCTCCAGCTTCATCAACTACGCGCAGCCGATCAAATTCGCCGGCTTTGATAACGCCATCAGTGAGCTGCGGGCGCCATCCGACAATGGTGTCTTCGGGAAAATAGGGCGTTTGTTAGTGGGAGGGCAAGCTGGAGTCTGAGTAGATATTGCCGGTCACCGGGCACCGACTGGTCGCTGATGGGAAGCATTTATGACGCTGAAGGTCATTTCTTTGAACTTCTGCTGGCGTCAGAACGAAATGTTTTTTATTAGGATGATGAATGGGCTGTATCGTCACCTTCAAAGATCATAGGTATAGTTTTTTTTTCTGACTGGCAAAGGTTCGAAATATTTTCGTTAACTAGTTATAAAACGCCGATTATTCAAGATGATATGATTTAGCAACAGTATAGTGTCAACCAAAATATAAAAAAGTAAAATAGAACAATTTTTATTAGAAACGTTGTGGGGATTATTTTTCTAATCTTTTTACCGATAAATCCGTCGGTAACACCAAACATCCTTTAATCCCTTTGTTTCATGTTGCATGAATAAATTAGTATCTCACCTTTTACTTACTTGCCGTTTTTATCATCTCGATGGCATATTTTTCGTCGATTTTTAGCGCTATTCCCGTTTTTATGGTAACATGTTACATGCCATGACCATAACCATTCAATCATGACACATTTCAACGCATTGCTGTTCCAGAGAAGAACATCCACCACAACATGTCTTCGTTTGCCGAGACGGCCGGTCTGGGCTACCTCAAATCGTCGGCCATCGAGTTTGTCAACTACAACAAACGCCAGATGAGCCGGATCTACCCCAAAGGCACCCGGGCCGACTCGTCGAACTACATGCCACAGGCTAGTACCGCGATAAATGATTCATAGAGCCTGGTTATACTTGGATGGAGGGTATACGGAAGCAGCTATTAGAATTTAAACACTCCACGAAGTCAGTTCAGGGCAGGATAACTTTCTTGCTCTGGGCCAACCAGGGCAGGGTTAGTTCCTGGACGCCTGTAAATGATGCATGCGATGTGTGATGTTTCGAGAGCATATAATCAACATAAATTTGGTGAAGTTGCCAAATCCGAAAAATAAATGCTGAGTAGTTATATCTTCTATCATCTACATTCTACAATCTACATATGTAGTCGTCGCGAAATTTGTATTCTCTTTACGGGTTATCATTTACATATTTGAGCATCAGCCTCAGGTTAGAGCGTTAAAAGCTTCTATTACTATTATATCTCGCCATTGATGGTTGTCCAATGTCTATTTCATTTATTTCCAATATGATTTAACATGCTTTATTGTGCACATTTTAACATGTGGCAAAATCTTATCTTATATAAATAAATAAACAGAATAGTAATTGAAGATTACCTAAGTTGGCACTCTTTGGTCTGAAAAGCTTAATTTTCTGTTGTAAGTGAACTCCAGTAACTATTATAATGACACATTTATAAAATCTGATGGCGAATAGTTGCAAAACAAAATGATAATTAAAATGGAAATCTTTTGCATTCATAAAATACAATAAGATTTAGTTTAATTATTATTTTGGTTTGCAACTATTGGCCATCCAATTTTATAAATATGTCTAACAATGCTAAACTAATGACATATTTACCCTTGTCCTATGGTCATTTCTTACGCCCAAATTTCCCGTTTTGCAGATTTTCTGGAACGCCGGCTGCCAGATGGTGTCGCTGAATTTCCAGACCCCCGACCTGCCCATGCAGCTGAACCAGGGCAAGTTCGAGTACAACGGCAACTGCGGCTACCAGCTGAAACCCGACTTCATGCGGCGACCGGACAAGGACTTTGACCCGTTCGCCGAGACGCCTGTCGACGGTGTGATCGCCGCTCAGTGCTCCGTGCAGGTTAGTTAGTTAGTTAGTTAGTTAGTTAGCTAATTACTCAGTTAGTGTGAGTCCGTAGCCGATGTTTTCAAGCTTTTCTATTGCCTTTATTTCGTTTTACGTTCAAAACACGATTGTAATAAGGCGGCGAAGTACTAAAATGAGCAGCATGATTGAATATCGTAGAAGAATAACCGTATGCTCACTATCCTTTAACAATCCAAGGTTAGCCTAAAATGAATGAATATATTTCGGAAAGGTTCCTTCTTCAGTTCAAGTTCAGTTCCTTCTTCAGAACTGAAGAAGGAACGTTTCCGAAATATATTCATTCATTTTAGGCTAATCTTGGATTGTTAAAGGATAGTGAGCATACGGTTATTCTTCTACGATATTCAAAACACGATATTAAAATTCAACTATAAGTTTGTTCAATTTTACAAAAGTTCATAAGTTTAAGAGAATTGATAACAACCTCGCCTACTAGGTAATGCTGACAAATAAATCGTTTAAACGAATGCCACCTCTTCCCATCACAGGTGATAGCCGGCCAGTTCCTCTCGGACAAGAAGGTCGGCACATATGTGGAAGTTGACATGTACGGTCTCCCCACCGACACCATCCGAAAAGAGTTCCGAACCAAGATGGTGCCCGCCAACGGCCTCAACCCAGTCTACAATGAGGAGCCGTTCGTGTTCAGAAAGGTAATCCATTACTGTCCGTCCTATTTCCGTCTACAGACTGGCAAACTTTGTGTTGTTCTGTAAAAATAGATGCATACATTCTCGTTCCAGTTCACTCAATTCTAGAAGTGTGCTAAGGGGATCTACTTGGATGTGTGGGATGCTAATGCTTATGAATGGTAATAGCAATATGCAAGTTTTACATCAACCTTAATGCAGTTAGCTGAGCAAAAAGTTCAGTAAGTTTTAATTCCGAACAAATGCACAATGGCATCCACCTGTAGGTTTGTTAAAAAAATGCGCCCCCTTGTCCTTCCCCTGCCGCCCGGCATTAACCACTTGACCCTCATAGCTAGCTTTTTATAGCCCTGGGTATTGTACGCACTTTATCTACCCATCATAAATCTTCCCTGGAGCCCACGCCGCATCTCAATCAGGTGCAATATAACGCACTTTATCACATAATATGAGATTCCGAGGCGTCTGTCGTGGAATATGTACCCAAGAACGTATTTAATTTCAGCCGACTTTATTCAAGCATATAAGTTGGAATTACATATAATTCTACATGTTAGGCTCATAATTTATGTCATAAATTTAGCCGTCATTCAGAGCACTGCGCAAAAGCCCATTACACTCTTCTGCCTACCGTCCGTTTTCTGTACTACAGCTTCCCTTTCCTGCCACCAGGTGGTGCTGCCGGACCTGGCCATGCTACGAATTGGCGTGTACGACGAGAACGGAAAGATGTTGGGACAGCGCATCCTTCCCCTAGATGGCCTGCAGGCTGGCTACCGGCACATCTCCCTGCGGACAGAAGGCAACTTCCCCATGTCGCTCCCCATGCTGTTCTGCAGGTTCGACCTGAAGATCTATGTTCCCGACGGACTGGGCGGTGAGTAGTCGGGCCAACTTGTTGAACGACGATTCGGGTATCATGGTGAGCCACGTTGGATCACCTCAATATAACAGTGAATGACATTGTGACGTGCCGATGTGAATTTTAATATACAAAATACGATTAACGAAAATATTTTCCTATCTCTACGCATTTTACTTACATTACGTCCGATCATGAATCTTTTCTGGGACGTTTCACCTTGGTATTTTGCATTTACTCTCGATAATTGAAGATAAATGATACACATAGACAAATGCATCAAATTTCGTCGGAACAGCTATAATAATGAACATTTAATAATTTGTGTGGCTTAGTTACTTAGTTAGGTACTTATCACCTAACTAAGCCCCATCCGTCCTGCCGACCTCCGACAGACCTGATGGACGCGCTGTCCGACCCGCGAGCGTTCCTCTCGGGTCAGGAGAAGCGGGCAGAACAGATGAAGGCCATGGGTATCGAGGAGGCCGACATCCAGGCCGTGAAAGACTCTGGGGCCGACAACGCCAAGGCGTCCAAAGACGGTGGAAAGAAAGACGAGCCCAAGAAAGGTGAGTGGGTGTGCGATGGGGCGTTGCATCTCTTTTTTGTCGGTCTTCCTATGATCGCTTGACATGAGAAAATGCAGGCGACATGAGTCATGAGTACATTGATATGATATAAGAGCATGCTCCAGTACATTAAGTTAGTTCACCGCCATAGGGAGCTATGCGGTACCGATAACTCGTATTGACATAATGTGCAAATAGTGGTAGGTATGTATTGCTGAAAGTCTAACACCGGTTCATTATTTTGTGGTGCAGAGGAGCCGCTCAAGTTTGAGAAGATCACGGCCGAGTCGCTGCGACAGGAGAAGGGTTTCGCCAAGGCCACCAAGAAGCAGCAGAAGGAGCTGGAGGCCATGAAGAAGCGACAGACCAAGGAGCGCGTCAGCATGCAAAAGTCGCAGTGCGTCGCCATCGAGAAACTCAGCAAAGACAAACGGTGAGTACTCAGTATCACTTGATGTTGTTAAGCCTTTCACCCCTTGTAGGTAATCTCCAGATACCTAAGTTTTTGAAACTTTGCGCCTTTCACCCCTTGTAGGTAATCTCCAGATACCTAAGTTTTTGAAACTTTGCAAGTTTCACCACAACATCGTTTTGTTGTGTAGCTGTTACAGGCAAAGTGAAAACTCGGGCATTTTGCAAAATGCCTAGGCAATTTGCAAAATGCCTGACCGGCTAGGCATTTTGCAAAATGCCCAGGCAATTTGCAAAATGCCTGACCGCCAGGCATTTTGCGAAATGCCTAGGCAGTTTGCAAACTGCCTGACCAACCAGGCATTTTGCAAACTGCCTGGGCAGTTTACAAAATGCCTGGCGGGTCAGGCATTTTGCAAAATGCCTGAGTTGTGATTGATTTATTTTACCGTTTTTGTTTACCACAGGCGTTGACCATGTCGCTCCCATGTGCCTGAGCCCCAAACACATTCAATATTTACGAATATACCCACGTCTTGCGCCACTTCCGTCGAGATGGAACCACTACTGAATGGTGTAGATTGAGCCAACGTCTCCCTATAATTTTCGTATACGGAGTTGTAGCCGTTCGTGTGTAGGAATGCTGCGATGGGGCGCGGAGCATGGCACAGAGAAACATGGGCGCGGAAAAACGCGGCGACCGGCCGAATATTGACCCGACATTCTTCGCTTCCCGTGCTTATTTACATCACGGCAAGAGAGGGCCGCAGCAACACGGGGTTGCCAGCGATCGATAGAACAGAGACAAGCGTATCCAATAAACATTTTTGTTAATCACGTGTCACGTGGAAAGAAATAGTCTATATCTTGAGAAATCAGCCATTTTTGGTACATTTCAGGAAAAACAGCATTTAAAAAACAATGGCAATGCATTGGAATGAGATGAGATACATTCCATAGACAACAAGAACATGTGGCTTTTCCGCTTTTCCAGAAAAGCAAGTTTTTGGTCATCCACGACCCACGTGCACACCTTTGTAAGAAAAAGACGCTTAGAAATTACAAGTTTTACATGCAACGGGCATGTTCATCTTTACACAGTCACAATGCATTGGTAATGTAGACGTGTGGCTCGCCAACCAAGCTACCATACATCAAAATAACATTATTTTCTGAGCAATATTCACACAAAGTATTTCCAGAGTCATCAAGGCTCTTAGAAACATAACCGTGTTTAAAGGGAGATAATGAGCTTTCTTTTTTCTTAAATAAAAATTACTCGACATCTATACTATTTCTACTGTAGTTTCTATAAAATATGAAAATTTCCTAGCACATTTTCGTATGTGAAAAAGGTTTTTATTTTTGCAAAAAAGAAGCAGTACTTGCAGTACTTGTAACACCCACCGAAATGCGTTGTCCTTCTCTATAAAAAAGTCGCAGTATATGGCGCTTTTGTTTCAAACAGCGACGCTTGGGTTTTTGTTTATGTTATCGCCTTGTCGTTGCTTGGTTGTAAGGATTCTAATTTGAATTAGAGTTAATTCGGTTTAGAATTAATTAGATTCTAATTCGGGGGTACATAGTGCCTACTCTTCTTTGTTTCCAAGTATTATTTTGCGCCACAAATGAACGGCATGCGCCAGAAACGCAGCCAAATCTTGCGATTGCGACTACGAAATTCATTATTTTGGCCTCAGAGCCTGAAGCGAAAAATACAAGCATATTTATTTCAAAAAGACTTCAGGTTTGTCGAACGGTGTTATGAGAATTTTGATAACAGTACTGCATAAGTTTTTCAGTGATGCCGCAAAAGTGTTGTATCTATCTTCTTTTATTGTGCAGTCGGCGGGACCGATTCAAAATTGAGTCGTTGCTACTAAAATAGCAGCATATGGCCACAGATGATGAACAGGAAAAATAGTTGCGTAAATTTAGACATAAACCACCCCCAAACCATTAATATCTTTTGAAGGCACTATAGACGACCATTAACTAACTAGATGTGATGAAGATCAAATGTGAGGAATACGCTCATTTTACAAAATTACATGCAAGTACCAAAAAGTGATGTAAGTACTTATTCAACGGTCATTTTCAGCGCTCCCCGCTAACGTGACTTCAAGTTGAGATATTTGCGGCAAGGTACCGAATTGAGCAAAATGGTTTTAATTTACATTATAACTTGTTGTGTTTTGTCAGAAAATGGTCCTAACTCAGATTTTGTGGAAAAAGGTCATAATCTCCCTTTAACGCGTGTTTACCGATAAAACCGCGCCGGGCGCCCGGTAGCCGGCGCGGCGGCCGGGCCGCTCGCGCTGCCTGGGGCTCAGTGACCTTGAACTCGGCAGCGCTACCCGGAGAATGTCTCACTGTGTGTCCTCCCACTTGGTGCGTATCGCTTGTGATTAACCCCTGCTGGCGGCACTTACAATGATTCTTACGCATAGTCGTCGCTAGTGTGAGTTCGATGTCAGGCATTTTGCAAACTGCCTGAGAAAATAATTTCAGGCAGTTTGCAAAATGCCTGGTGGCCCAGGCAGTTTGCAAACTGCCTAGGCATTTTGAAAAATGCCTGGCCGGTCAGGCATTTTGCAAATTGCCTGGGCATTTTGCAAAATGCCTAGCCAGTCAGGCATTTTGCAAATTGCCTAGGCATTTTGCAAAATGCCCGAGTTTTCACTTTGCCTGTAACATAGCCATTTTCTCAGACATCGACTTCGCCGCGACAGCAGTAGTCTCATAAACCCACACTGACAGTACTTGGTCCAAACGAGATAAGTATAGGCGGCCCACAATAGCCCATTCAGCGGTGAAAATCAGTAACACCGCGCGCCCCTTGCGCAGAGGTGACCCGAACGACCTGACGACCCCTCGTTCCCCTGTGCAGAGGTGACCTGACGACCCCCCGTCCCCCCGTGCAGAGGTGACCCGAACGACCCGGCGGTGCTGGCTTTGGTGAAGGAGCAGATTGACACGTGGTCGGAGCTGATGAGTCGACACCGGCACGAGGAGTGGGACCTGCTCAAGGAGCACTACAAGTGCCAGGAGGACATCCTGAAGAGGCTCATGGAGGCCGCGCAGGCCGCACAGATCAAACAGATCGAGGCAAAGTTCGAGAGGTAGGGGAACAAAGATAAGGGAAACAATAGAATTGCTACAAAGCTACATAGTTCAAACGGTACGCCGTAGCTCAATGCAGTGGCGAGACGCTACAGTGGTGAACACTGAACAGCAAAACTTTTTGCCTGGGCGACCTAAATGTTCATTTCAAGACGCACTTACCGTTCTGCCATAAATCTAAGTTAGTGTGCTCTGAATAATGCTTGTAGGAAATTGAACCATACCATATCATTTTTTCACTTAACGTGTTCTATGTCGTTTTGTTTTCAGGGAAAACAAGGAGCTGAAGGCTCGACAGGCTAAAGTCTCGGTGGACACCGCCAAAGAGGTAGCCCAGGATAAGACCCTGCGAAATAAAGCAGAGAAGGACCGACGACTGCGCGAAAAGAACCAGAACAACACCAAGAAGTTCATCGAGGAGCGGAAGATGACCGCCATGCGACAGAACAAGGAGTCAGAGAAGCTGAAGAAGCAGCACGAACAGGAGCTGCAGGATCTCTCGCGGGATATAAAACTGGTGAGTTTATCTCAAAAGGAGCACTCTGATAAATTCGATAAAATATTTGCCTATCGGCATAGACCTCTGTATGCAAACGTGAGTAGTGCCCTCCCGCCCCTTGGCCCTGGTTGGCACTGGTCCAATGGATTCACTATTGGCTCCCGTATCTGCCCACCTAGTGTAATGGATGTGACTCTAACCCAATTAGTTAACTTATGACTCCCATGTCTACCTCCAGAGTGTGGAGATGTACGAGCGGGCAGCGGTCGAGTACCAGCTGCGATCCAAGTGTGAGTTCTACGCCTGAGTGCAGTGAAGTCAACTACTTCAGCTCGAGGGACCGTGCTGGTGAAGTGCAGACCTCCCACCGCATGGACATGTCTTCATCGATTTCACCCACCCGTGAAGAATACTGGCTCTGAGTGGCCGCATACATCAGCATCCCCAGAACAGATCACTAAATAGCCGTTTCGAACTCTTAAAGTCCAAGAGCACCGCATGCAGATTTAAACAATCCACAGAGAGCAGGACCACACAACTGAATAATGTTTACGTAACGGTACTATTCTGAAATACTATCAGCATCGATCAGATAGCGTTCGATATTTATGTGTAACTACTCCGCTTACATAATTCCGATTCAGTCAGACCCCGTGATAGCCGGCCCACTTCTCGACCGAGCCAGATAGCCAAAAATAGTCACTCCGGCTTGAAGCTATAAAGACTCGAGCTTCACAAAGTCATGGCTTTTCAACAATCGTGTATATCCATCATGACCAGTCGTGTATCCTCAGTGGAGTCGTTGACTTCGTGCTCTCTTTATCGGTGTAAGACGGCGTGAGGAACGAGCGGTGAGCAGTGAGTCGTGTGGGTCACCCACTCACCGCCTGAGTTGCCCCTGAGCTCACCGACTCAGCAGGCATCTCGCATGATCTCAGGCAGACTGGGCTTACAGGGTCCTGCTGGCAGCCATTGTAACACGGTAGTTTCACAGTCAGATTCATCATGTTATCTAGCATATTTAAGAAGACGGTTGCTGTTCACATTTTGTCGTGTACATCTTTCAGACAGGTGTTTAAAAGGACCATACATAGGATGGTTTCCCAACATTAACTATTATTTAACTGAGAGAGCGTTTTAAAAAAAATCACTGTTAATTTTCGAATATCTAACTAGTTCTTCAAATCATACAAATGCAAACAACGCGATTTTGCGTTTATCAATGAATGATAAACTATCCCTCAATTCCTAGCAAAACGGCTATTTTATGTGTTTCTCAACCTTATCTTAGCTCTGGATCGTAGCTCTTGCCAAAGTACTGAAAACATTTCTAAATTCATAGCCTTGGGAATATAGTGTAACTATTGGTTGACTTTTTGAAAGGTCGATACTATGTTTGAATGATCTGTGATACAATGAGAGGATGATTTGAAGCAAATCGATATATCATTGTCGATAAGTTTATTGAGTCTGTTGCATATACTATATAATAAAAAGTACGTACATACATAATGGCGGACGCCAAACGGTTGTTACGAATTAAAAGCTATTCCATTCAGACAAAAATACAACAAAATTGTACTCAATTTTGAGCATGAATATGAAAAATGGTGAGAGTATTTAGGTTTCGCAAGCAATCAGTAACTTTCACAGCAGTGCATTGCTGGGCTAAAAATAAATAACTTAACTTGGATGTAAAAAGTATGCTTGACTTTCCGTACCTACAGTACTAAGGATTTTAAAAGGCCCTTTATTATATATATCCACCTTCACTTACTTAAAATGTCAGTAGTTGCAAAGTTTTGTGACCATTGTGCCAAATATAAAGGATTATAGTTATTGATTTTCCCAAAGTACACAAGACGTTCAGTAAATGAACCCTTTGCACCGGTTGAAGTGTTTGATAGAGTCCACCCCATACCCTCAGCACCCGCGGTTTGCGAATGGCGTTCTGAGCCGTCCCACAGTGAAACACCTGTCTGCGTTCAGTGTTGATTTGTGCTTGACCGCCCAGTTGCCCCAGCGCATTATTTTTGCTTTATGGTTGCTGTGCTAGGAATAGGTACTGGACAGGTAATGCTTGTTACACAACAGTGTGAACAATGTTGGCGATTGTGGTGAATGATGGCAAACGGCAGCAACGTTAACGTTTACAGATGGTGACGTTTTTACACAAATGTGAATGACATTTCCCTATTTACATCGTCTCGATGGACAAAAAATACTAACTGTAATGAAAGGCGAAATCGGCAATCGGCCCCTCTTACAGATGTTTTATCAAAATTGTGCTATTCATGCATATGTCACAAAGCGTTGATTGCATATTGTTAGGCGTTGCTACCGTTTGTCAAAGAGTTGTTGGTGGTAACCTCTCAGATGATGGATCCATTGTTTTAGTCTTCGCGTTTAAGCGACCTCTCTGGTTATTGTTTGGTTAGTGCTGACTACAGCTTATTTTCCCACGAGCACCTTCATGTTTTACCCAAACAACGGTGGTGCCAAAGTCAGTTCTTCCAACCCGATGTGTACTTACATATATGTTCGAGTTTACATGTCTGGAAGTATGTATATCTGTCGCTAGACGCACTGTTCTCGTTTTTTTCTATTTGACCCGGTATGCGAGGCTTCGCGTTCCGGCTTTTGTGCTGTTTAAATTTACCGATAGTTCTGGTTGCAAATCAGTATCACTCTTCCGTGCATGTTGAATGCAATACATCTAAAACATTGCTGAGTTTTGAAACTTTGGGGACTTTAAACTGGGATGATTGAAGATCGATAGTTACGGCATCGTTATTCATTATGCAGTGTACCTTTAGCATGGAATTGGACGCCATGTAGGTATACGACACAATGTAAGTACATTGAGAGGCTGACAACACCGCATTGCTGAACGTTCTCTTTGCCTTTGGGGTATGCCGGCTGCCAGTAGGTCAAAGTGCATACTTACAACCAACAACCTAGGTACATGTCCCATGAGCATGGAAAGAGGGCAGTGGGGGCATTCCACGTCAAGTGAGACAAAAAATGACCATTTTGAACCTCACCTCCTCCGATTTTTGCGAAACTTTGTGAAACTACTCATCTATATGTGAAAAGAAAGGAGACATGTTTTTGTAAAGATATGACGTCACGTTTCAGAGATACACGTCATCAAACATTGACTTAGGCAAGGCACATTATCATCTTCAAAGCGTCATAACCATTGAAGTTTTAGACATATCATCATGAGACAAAGTGTGAAATGGAGGGAATACATCAGGCTTTAATTTGAGGATGATAATATTGACGTAATAAGCTAATTAATGAACTAAATTAAAATTCAAAAAATAAATTTTGATTTTCTGAAAAATGGGTACCCTTCGATTTTGCTGATTTTTACATATTTTATTCTCCCATACATTAGCTACATCATATAAAAAATCCAGAATGGGCCGACGTCTACGTAACTGTCTTTTGGACTTCGTAATGTCTGGCACTCGCGTGTTTCGTTTTAGCAACCAAGGAGAGGCGCTACCCGGAGATGCTTCTTTCTACCCAAAACCAAAGCAAACCTAGCCTGACCTGACGTGACCTGATCTAATCTAACACGCGTAAATATGTACAGCCCTCACGGCAGTTACCGACAGGCCAAATGCTACCCAAATGCCCGGAGAATGCAATTGGGCAATGGGCATTCTCCGGGCAGCGCCTCTCTTTGGTTGCAAAAAGGTAATACGCCTGACTCTCCCAGCGCTAGGGGAAAAGGCCCGGTTTAGCCAAAAAAGGTATTAAAAAAAAAACGGAATTTGAATTGTAGGTGGGGTGGTGGGGAACTTTATCGTGTGCCAATTTCATGGCCCTAGATCAATATCTTCAAGATCAAATGAGGTTAATCGTGATGAAATTTGCTATAGTGACTATTTTGCGTTTATCCTCCCATAGCTTTACGACTTACCGGCCGATTTTCCTATTTCTTCCTTTATACGACATTTGTAGTGTTATGAGCATCTCTAGTTAATCTAACCATAAATTTGGCAGTTAGTGGCCTGCTAAGAGTAAGAAGATGTCGCCGGCAAAGACGGGGATCGGCCGACGCGGGAAACGTTTCAGTCACAGATTGTGTTTGCACCCTAATAACTCAATTTTTACCAGTTGATTTTCGTATTTATTTGAACATTAGATTGCCTGTACATTTTTAAGCCTTCACGCAAAATTTGACACGAATCGATCATAATCAGCGGTAAGAAGCGCAGTGCAAAGATGGAACCGTCCCGCGCCGGCACAGTCTACCATTCAGGCGGCAACGGCCGGCGCCGGCCGCCGCGCCGCTCCGGCAAGATGTTTGACTTTACACCGTTATTACTAGAAAAGTTGTGGACTGATTTACCTATTGCTTGCACGGGAGGATTTGCAATTCAATTCTGGACAGATGCTGAAAGTTTGGCGTTAATATGATAATTGTGGCGTGAGTTACTGGCGAAAAACAGGTGGGGTTGGCGAAATCAGCCCCTTCCATCGCGCGTGCTACGTTGCACTACTTGTTGCTATATCATCCAAAGTTATCGTTGGCCCACTCTAATTTTCTCAGCACGTATGCCTTACGTGTAGTGGAAGACAATATCTAAATTTGAGCAAAATCGAAGGGTACCCATTTTTCACAAATTAGATTTTAAGAAATTAATTCAAAATAAGATAAATTCAAAATCACCAAAAACTGTTAAAATTGCCAAATTTAACTAGCATAACTCCTTATGTACACGTTTCAGTTTGTTTGAAATTAATAGCTTCAAAAATGTTGAAGCTATAGATCTTTCAAGATTGCAATACACGTCCAATTCTGCTAAAAAAGCAGAAGTTTAGCGGCTTGTATCTCTGTAGCCCGAGGGCATATGACAAAATCCTTTGACCCTCAGAGGTTTCACCCAATACCCAACAAGTATACCAAGTTTGAACAAAATCGCAGAGGTGGCCGATTTTGGCTGTCCCGGTTGACATGGAATGCCCCAGTGAGGAAAACAGCAGGCTGCTTGAAATAGACACCATTTAAGCTTGTCCGTCGTTGTAGAGCGTGGATAACGCTCTACAACAGCACAGCATTAAACCACGCCCCGCAGGGGGGGGGGGAGGGCGAAACGGCCCCCTGTCGTTTTTCGTAGACATCTCCTATACGACTGCAGATATCGTCACCAATCTTTTAGGACAACTCCGGGCATTAATTTTGTACATTGTGACTAAAAAGTTTGCCAGAGGCTATGATAGGTTGGCCACAAATAACGTCAGAATGAAGAATGATGTCATGTTTTGCAATTTCCGATCCTAAAAAGGTTTCGCGGGAATAACTGTCAGGCCTACAGCTTTGAAGATAGGTACAGAAAAAAGTTCTGAACATAAAAGGTGTGGAATCAACAGGGAAATATAAATATTTTCTCGGATTTTTGAAATTTTTGGATTTCGACACCTAAAAATCAAGAAAGTATTTTTTTTATATAATAGCCAAAAAAAAAACAAAAAGCTTTACGAATTTCGGACAAACGGAATATATATGATACCGTCTTATAAGTTATCTCCAAATACTAAATTTGAGATAAATACCTCTTTTTTTGGCCAAGTTATAGCGAAAAAAATGCTCAAAAAGGATGACGCCAATTTGTAAAACTCATTTTTTTTTGCAATTCTAGGCCACCTAGCGCAAATCAAAGACCACCATTAGACTCCCCGTGACGAGCTGCGTCGAAACGATACCCATTTTGTGCAAAATATCAACTTTGAAATTTGGCCTAGTTTGACCTGTCCTTGACCTGACTTCATCGGAACATAACCTTAACTGTCCCCAAACGTTGCCTGACCAATATAAACGCCTCTGTCACGTAAAATGGACCATAACACATGCATCACACGACACTTCTATATTGTGACCCTCAGTGACCTGACCTCTGTGACCTGACCTGGTACCAGTGACTTCAAATAGCAAAATATATGTTTGACAAACATTTCTCCATCGATGATTTTCAATAACAATCGATGCCCTTTACTTTTACAACACATTTCTTGAAATGCCCGTCAACGGTGGAAATGCGACCTTTGACCTGACCTGTGACACCATTGGTTGAACCAAGGTCAATGAAATTGGGTCTCAATGTGGTTCCCCGGTGGGGCTATCGAACGCCATTTGAGTTTTGAAAATCAGCCGGTAACTTTCCGAGATCTTAGGGGGGGGGGGCAAACGCCCTCCCCCTTCAGGTGGTAGGTTCCGCCGATATTCCTACGGGGCGCGGGTTAACAAACGTAAATTATAGCTTGAAGCGTGTTAACTGGTCAATACTGCAAAGAAAAAATAACTTTGAGCTGCTAAGAATCCATGATAAATAGGTCAGTATACCTATGTAATGTTGACGACAGCAAAACATTTCGAGATGCACATTTCCAAAGGCCGTTATAAAGGCCTTTCCAACGGCATTTCCAAATCCAACTTATAACTTTCACTTGTTTCAGCAAAGATAACTTTACACAAGACAGACCAATTACACAATTGGCTGAATCTCTTGAATGTTATAAGTTTACGTACTACATTCGTTTGCTGCGTGACGATCACAAAAGTATACACTATACATATGTCTAGGGATGTGCAATTTACAGCTGGTTATCAATGCCAGTTTTCATGTGCAAAGAACGCATCACGAGCTGGGTCGAAGAAGCAAAGGTCACCCCTACCCTAACACACCTCAGGTCGGGGTTGGGTCCCACGCGCGTCTCCGACACCTACTCGGGAACCAAGTCCTCGCCCCAGCGGAACCCTCCCTCGTAGCTCCATCCGCTGTCGTACTTGGCGAGCTTGTACTCGATATTTTCCACGTTGCAGCACATCTGCGGTCCGTCATAGTTGATGGTGATCGGTGGGTCTAGTTTATGACTGACAAAAGGCTCTGTCTCGTCGCCGCGGTACATGCTGACTGCCTGCGGCGAGAAGTGAACGCGGAACTTGCGGAACTCGGTAGCGCTTAGGATGCCGGGGGTTTCTGTGTAGTTGTGCGTCGACCAGCCGACGCCAGTAATATGGCGCTGTACGGCGCTGGCCGTGTTGTCCCAACCCCCGAAAGCGGCCCTCAGGATGTTGCCATGATTCCAATACACCTCCTGGCGGGCCTGCCAGAAACAATCGCGCGTGATGCGGCACTCGAACTCCACCCAAAAGTCCTGCTCGTGACGCCGTCGGGAGATGAACGTATCCCGCGGGATGGAGTAGATGCGCTCTGTGCTCCAGTCGCCGAACCACGGGTCGACCAGCCGCTCCGGGAATCGCCAGCGACCCTCCGAGTCCGCAGAGTAGATGGCCATGTGGGTCGGATTGAAGGCGCTGCCGTCATTCCACGAGATACGGTACGGACCTCCCGACTCCCAGAACCGCATCTGGCCGCTGCACCAGCTCATGCCCAGAGTGCGGAACGTGTCGCTAGAGAGCATACTGACTGCCACCGAGGCATACCGAGAGTTGGTCACACCCTCCAGGATCCGATTCCCGTAGAGGTAAGTCGGCGTCAGCTCGAAGACGTACCGGTTGGAATAATGCGTGTATGCTTCAGCGAGGACAATCGTCACCCCTTTTGACGCCTTGAGGTCAAACTGGGTCGAGCAGAGGCCATTGACAATCTTCTTCCAAACCCAGAAGGTGCCTTCGGTGAAGAGCTGCTGGTTTCTGGGCAGACAGAGCGTCTCGTTGAACTGCCAGTGGTCAGCGTCGCACTGGCACGTCCA